CACACACACACACACACACACACACACACACACACACACACACACACGCCAGTTCATCCACATTCTTCTGGTAATCAAGCCTCCCACTCCTTGGTCCTGTCCTTTCATCTCTATTTGTTAACAAAACATGCCAAGAAAGTACTATCTATCTTAGGAGTAGGGTTCCTTGGAGCTTACTGTCTTAAGGGAGAATATTCATCCAGTTCCCATGGTTTGCCCTTCTCCTAGTCATCTCAAAAAAGCATTCATGGGAATATATAAAGAAGGACTTGACCAAAAACCCACTTTAGCAAAAACTTTAAAAAAGAAAGAAAGACACCTATGCAGCAAAACTGAGTATAAACCTTCAGGGGGGGAAAAATGGTCATTCAATGAAATAGGAGACTTTCAAGCATTCTTGATGAAAAGACCAGAGCTGAATTGAAAATTTGACTTTCAAATACAAGACTCAAGTGAAACATGAAGAGGTAAACAGGAAAGAGAAATCATAAGAGACTTATTAAGGTTGAAATGTTTACATTCCTGCATGGAAAGATGATATTTGTAACTCATGAGACCTTTGTCAGTATTAGGGTAGTTGGAGGGAGAAAATTATATATATGTATGGATAGATAGATGGATAGATAGAAAGACAGATAGATAGATAGAGGGCACAGGGTGAGTTGAAGATGAAGGGATGATATCTGGAGAATAAAATTAAGGGGTAAGAGGATTATACTGGGAGAAGGAGAAAGGGAGAGGTAGAATGGGGTAAATTATCTCACATGAAACAGATAAGAAAAAGCTTTTACAGTAGAGAGGAAATGGGGGAGGATGAGAGGGAATGAGTGAATCTGATTCTCATCGAATTTGGCTTAAGGAGAGAATAACATACACATTCAATTGGACATGGAAACCTCTTACCCTCCAGGAAAATAGGGGGGAAAGGGGACAAGAGAGCAGGAGGATGATAGAGGGGACAGCAGATTGGGAGAGGGGGTAATCTGAAGCAAACACTTTTGAGGAGGGACAGGGTGAAAAAAGAGAATAGAATAAATGTGGGGGTGGGATAGGATGAAGGGAAGTATACTTAGTTTTTCACAACATGACTACTGTGGAAGTGTTTTGTGTGACTCCAAATGTATAACCTATATTTAGTTGCTTGCCTTTTTAATGAGGGTGGATGGGAAGGGAGGAAGGGAGAAAATGTGGAACCCAAAGTTTTAAAAACAAAAGTTAAAAAAATATTTTTCACATGCAACTGGGAAATAAGAAATACAGGAAATGGGGTACAGAAATCCATCCTGCCCTACAGGAAAATGGAAGGGGAAGGGGATAACAGAAGGGGGGAGAGATAGAAGGGAGAGCAGATTAGGGGAAGGGGTATACAGAATGCATGCCATCTTGGGGTGGGGGAGGGATGAGATGGGGAGAAAATTTGGAACTCAAAATCTTGTGGAAGTGAATGTTGAAAGCTAAAAAAATAAATTAATTAAATTAAAGAAAGAAAGAAAGAAATCCTCCCTCCCACACAAATATTTGAAGCTAAAACAAGGGGGAGGGGAAAGCAAATATAGGCTATTGTCAGACATGGTCACTGTGCTGGTTGATTTTGCTTAGCTATTTCTTTGTTGCAAGGGAAGGCTCACTGGAGATGGGGGTGGTTGATAGGGAATAACATGTAAACAACAGAAGGCATCAATAAAATATTAAATCAGAAAGAAAAACAAAAGAGGGAATGCTGGAGAAGGATATAATTTAAGTTGGGAGGATTTAACTAGTTTCATTATCTTTGGGTTTCATGTTTTACTGCAGGTCTCAAATTACAAAAGGAAAAATTCTGGGAGGGGGGCCAGCTAGGTGGCCCAGTAGATAGAGCTCTGGCCTTGGAGTCAGGAGGACCTGAATTCAAATCCGACCTCAGACCAGATACTTGATGCTAGCTGTGTGACCGTGGGCAAGTCACAACCCCTATTGCCTCACCAAAAAGCGTAAAAAAAAAAAAAATTCTGTCTATCTCCAGATTAGAGTTATAACCCACTTTTCAAATCTGTAAAACAAAGGGAAAAAATGGGAATCAGACAAGCAACTAAAGTTAAAGTTTTAATTTTATACAATTATTTGTGTAGGCAAGTACAATGACCAATCTCATAAGATAAATAGATACACTATTTACAATGTTTTCTAAACAAATGTTATATAAAAATGTTACATAAAATACAAATGTTATATAAAAGGGAAAATGTGAAAATTGAAAACAAAATCCCAAAATAAATCCCATAATTTTTATTGCCCAGTTTCATCTTAAAAGATATTTCTTCTAAATTTTAAATTGTAACCCAGAATTCTATGTTTAGTTTTTGGACATGAACAAGTTGGGAATTTCTTTTGTTTAACTGTATATATTTGTTATGAGGATTCTGTTTTTCTTTTTCTTTTAAATTGGGGGGAGGGGTAGAGAAAGAGAATAATGCTTGCTAATTGAAAAAATAAAATACATTTTTAAAAATTCCCATTTATTTTTCTACTTCAGTTTGCTTGGCACTGCCTTCTCTTAATGAATTATTCTGATTTTCAAAATTATGATATATTTCCTAAAGCTTTCACTAAAGTCTTATTATGATGCCCCATCATAGCATCGAGGTGACCTTGGGTTCTTGAAGGTTCTTCCAAGAGAAGGCAAAGTCAGACAAATTCTAACCAGCTGGAAAAGCTTCAAGTACAGGTCCAATAACAAACTCAGTGACCCAGCCCAACACAAAAGGAACTCATCACCAGGTTGATGATTCATTTTTTGGCCATGGCAACAACTAAAGACAAATTTCTAAGTTAGTCAGTGAATGCAATCTGTTTTGGTGGAGGGAGTACCCACAGTCACAAAATTCTAGATTCTTGAAGTATTTTCCAACTGGGCAGAAAATTCGTTTTTTTCATGTATATTTTAATTCTGCTGAACAAAAACTCAAGGCTTCTAAAACACAGTTTCAAAAACATAAGCATATATTAAACATGTTAGTATCTCATTTAAAATAGATGCTTTAAATAAATTAACACTTTAGTCATCTAAGTTCCAGGTGCTGTGAAGAAAACAGGTTAAGGTTTATCTTCTGTTTAAAAGTAAAAACCTTTTTGGCTTCAAGCTTGCAACACAGCATTCTCTGGTTATAAGGGCCGACAGACACTGGAGGTCACTGGTCACTGAGCTTCTGACACCAGCTGGGCTATAAGTTCTCGTGCATCCTGCATACTGGAGGGGATGTCTGTGCCATTCTGGGTTATGTGGGTTCCAAACAGGAACAACTTTCTATCATCTCCAATCTCAGATAATCCCAAAACCTCATGAATATCTGTGATACTATATGCATCTTCAAGATCCTTGGCCCAGAAAGGAAAAGGGGAAAAAAACTGATTATTTTGTATGTTGGTGTAAGCATACATATTTTTTCAAGGATTGGTTTTTGGACTAGCGTTATCTCGAAGTTCTCTTTCTTTCAGCTGTGAAATTCTATGATTTTATGGAGTATATATGAAATTACATATATATAAATATGTACACACATACTCATACTACACACACATACACATAGACACCCACATACTCAGTTATTCTTTTTAATTTATATTTTTGGTCAGTCATTTTAAAACTTTAATATTTTCATGGGTAAAAATAACAGCTAGAATTGTAAATTAGCTTTTTGCTATTGGGAGGGAGGGCTTTATTCTAAACTTCAGGAATGAAGAGAATACATAGGAATTACCCATTAACAAATCAAGCACTTAAATTTTCACAGCCATTTATCAACTGCCTTCTAGTGACTGGCATTCAAAGCTTATCAACAAGCCCAATGTCACTCTTTAAGACATTTGTCAGAAAATCAGTTAATTTCCTGGGATCCAGTAACTTGGCAATACTTGCCACTTGAGACATCTGATATCTAGAGATAGTCCTAACTACCCATTCATCTAGGGTCTCTAGGTTCTGTGTATTGGTAGAACACCAGAAAGTTCCATACCTGTACAATATTATTATAATTCTTGTTGCTGTGCTTACACTGCAATAAGATCTAATTGTTTCAGTTCTAGCTTTTGTAGAAAGTAAGAATAAGGGGCTGCTAGGTGGCGTAGTGGATAGAGCACTGACCCTGAAGTCAGGAAGACCTGAGTTCAAATCCTGCCTCAGACCAAACACTTGACACTCACCAGCTGTGTGATCCTGGGCAAGTCACTTAACCCCAATTGCCTTAAAAAAAAAAAAAAGCAAACAAAAAAAAGAATAAGAAAGGGGAATATCCCTATATGTCCTTCAAACAAGTCAAGCTGAAGACAGTATCAAAGAGGGTTTATCCACGAACATCTTTTTATAAAGATTCATGTAATTACTTCCTAAAATTTAGGGCCAGGAAAAAGTTTCTATAAAAGAACTTCTTTTCTTTCTTTCATCAGATAAGAAAATTATATAATCCTATGCTTTTGCTTTGTGTTTTGTTTTAGCCTTGGCTGTCAGGAAGCTCAAAGTCAAAGTCTTTGCTCAGGTTTAATGACTAACATGCCAGGTGCCTGCGACATCTTTTTGACCAGAATTTTGTTCTGTTTTGCTTTTTATCTTTAAGTGTCCTAATAAATAGATATTTGAGCTTTGTAACAACCCTTTTGTCTTTTTGTAAGAAAACAAAAAAAAAGGAAAATGGGGCCAAACGTGGCAGAACTTGTCAAACTGTATCTTATAACTGTGATAGAATATGTATCTTCAAGATTCTTGACCCAGAAAACCTGGATTTATTTAGTCCTGTAACTTTAACCTAGTAAATTTCTGAAACTAGGTTAAAGGAACTAGTAAACATATAGATTGTATTTTTTAAAAATAATTGTGCTCAATTGTCTTCAGAAATGAAAGAAAACAGATACCTTTGAAATGAAAAAAAAAGTTATTTAAATTTGTATCATCTTAAATTTATACTACTTTATCTGAGTAAAAGTCAGAGCCTAAAGAATAAGAATAGTGATATTGTATTTTTTTCAAAACTCAGAACGAATATATTTTATGATAACCAACAGCAATGATGAAAGTTAAAGGCAGAGTTTTATATTTCTAATTCCAAGAAAAATCTCTAAATGAGGAGGTTTGGACAAAATGATGGCTGAACCTATGAACTTCTAAAGTTGTGGGTCTGTGTGTATGTGTGTGTATGCCCTCCTCACGTCCCAAGGAAGGAAAGAAACAAACAAATACTCCTTCCTGTGCTAGGCACCATGCTAAATGTATTATAAATATTATCTCATTTGATCCTCACAACAACCCTAGGAGGTAGGTACTATTATTATCATCCCTACTTTACAGTTGAGGAAACTGAGACAGATAGCAGTTAACTGACTTACTGAGGTTCATACAGCTAGTAAGTTATCTGAGGTCACCTATGAACTGAGGTCTTCCTGATGCCAAGTTCACTGCTCTATCCACTACACCTAGCTGCCTCAAAAAAGATAGGGATATCACCTGGAATTTCAAAGTCATTCATGATTGGAAGCCAGTAATAAAGTTAAAAATTTATAATTGCCTAGATAATATTCCTTATCTAGATTTATTATGAGATAAAAAAGTGGGGGAGGGGGCTCATGATCAGCAAATAATATATAGCATTAACCTAATGGATTGGGCAATGTTTGGTGTAAACCAATTTAATTTCTTAATTCAACATGAATGGCACAGTTATTAACTCAAAATAGTACTTTCTCGTGTATCAGTTTACACTGAACATTAGACAGACTTTAAATTTAAAACTAGACTTTATTCACCAGTATTGGATATCAACTGAACATTCAAGGTAATGGTTATATTTCAGATAGCAAATCTGAATTTAGTGAAGCTTAAAAATAAAGGCTTGCAACCTCATATATTGTAGAGTAAAAAGCACCCAGAAGATTTTCCCCAAACTTTGTCTTTATTACTTTGAAAACTGGATAAGTGCTGGATACACATCTGTCTGGTGTTAAGATCATAAGGGGTCAGAAAGTGGCCATGATGAACATGGGGAGCTATGTGGCAGTCACAGAGTGCTGGGAGTTAGAACGAAGACCTTAGTTGGGGTTACAGGTCTGGAACTTAGTAACTATTTGATTTTGGGCAAATAATCTGCCTTTTCTGGATCACAATTTCCTCACTTGTAAAGTAGGAACGTTATTACTCAACATTGTCTAGTTCATAGAGTTAAGAGCTGTTGGAAGCATCAAAGGAGATGAAATACATAAAGCACTTTGTGAACTCTAAAGAACTATCTCAATGTCGCCTATTATGACGTGTTCCTGGGTGGAAAATCCAGCCCTTTTTTGTTTTTCCAGTGGTTGGAATCAATGGGATATTGGTTGCTTTCCATGAAGAAAAGGTTCATCCTGTGGAGGACTTTTTTCTCTCCTTATTTGTTAGGGTGTATTTCTCTACTTGTTCCTTTTTAGCTTCTGTAGTTCCTTTTTTTTTTTTTTTAAGGCTGCTCAGTATACAGGAAATATTGTGGGTTACCATTGTATTAACATCAGATACTGCATGTGCCAACTTGTCCTTTTCAAAGATGGGCAGAACCATGGCTAAAAGCACAAAAGGTCAGACCAGAGAGCCAGAGTAAACCAAATACTTTTCAATGAGCGTTGCCAAGTTTTTTTCTTTCTTTTTTTCTTTTTAATTTAATATGAGGTTGAATGGAAGTGGTCCAGGTCAAAGTTGTAAATGCCTGAATCCCAGAAAGATCCACCCCCCAGGCTTTATATCTGCTCTTTTTATCTCCTTTATTTCTTCCATTTTCTTCTTTTATAGAAATTAATAGATAGAACATATACCCACAGAAGGAACAAAGTAAATGGACATCATCCTATCATTATTACAGAATTTTAGAGACTATGTCCAGGGGTGGGGAACCTGCAGCGGCCTTCTAGGCCCTCAGGTGTGGCCTTTTGACTGAGTTCAGGTTTTACAGAACAAATACTTTTATCAAGGGGATTTATTCTGTGAAGTGTGGATTCAGTCAAACGGTTGCACTTGAGGACCTAGAGGGCCACATGTGGCCTCGAGGCTGCAGGTTCCCCACCCCTGAATTCTAGTCCAATGTAATCCTTGTACAGAGGAAGACTAGAAATCCCTGGAGAAGATGCAGCATGCCTGAGGTCAAAGAGGAACTAAGGAGAGAAGCTAGAATTCAATTTTGGGTTCTTCTCTATCTCCCTCAAATCAGATTTTCCCCTGCAGCGTATCTTAGAGGAAACTGTCTATTCAAGCCAGCAGAGTACCTCAGTGAAGAGGCCTTTTACTTCCTTTTTTTTTTTTAAGTGAAAATAGCTTTTATTTTTCCAATTACATGGAAAGACAGAAGAGGCTTTTTTCAATGTCTTTACCTAGAATAAAATACAAAAAAGGTTTTGGAGGAAGGTAACACATTCAGTCTTCCTTAATCACTCTGGTTAGAGAGAAGCACCACTTTCTCCCTTTAAAACTGCTACCAGTATTTCAAAGTTCGCAGTTCTATATTCTATGTGCATTTTTTTCTACTCTTAGTCACTATGTCTATTTTGATTACTTTGGCAGAAATATAACTAAGGAGATAGGAAGTGGGATTTCTATTGTATATAAACCCAACAGGATACCCTTTCACCATTTAAGCAAGGGATTACAGGTTTCACATGTGTCAACACTGTTCTGGATAATAATAGTAACCGCTATTATTAACTCACATTTTTAGAGTGCTTTTGAAAGTTTCCAAAGTACTTTTCTCCCAACAGCCCTGCAGGATAGGCAGTGAGAGTTTTCATATCTCTACTTTAGAGCTGAGGAAACTGAGGCTCAGAGATGTTAATTATCCTTGATTACAGAATCCCAGAGCCTCAGAGTTAGAAGGCACCTTGCAGGTCACCTGAATAGGAATCTTCTCCCTGCAATATTCCCACAAACTTTTAGCCTTTGCACAAAGATTTCTAGCAAATTCCCCCAGCTAGGAAGTCATAACCACCATCCTAACCTGTGTCTCTTGACTACTAGTCCAAGACTTAACACTAAATACGCAACAACAAAAACAGCAAAACATTATGTGCATAAGCAAAAGACGAAACTGAGTCAGGACTAATTCACAAAATATTAGGGTGTGAAGGGACCTCATAGGCCAACTCATTCAAAACATATCTATGAATTGTTTCTAGAGCATACCTAACAATGAATGAATAAATGAATGAATGAAATATTTATTAAATGCTTACTATGTGAAAAGCACTGTGCTTTGCCCGGTATGAAGGAGCTCACTTACCTTCCCTGAGGCCTCTCGTTCCACTTTCACATAGTTCTAATTATGTAGAAGTTTTTCCTTACATAAAATCTAAATCTGTCTCATTTTAACTCCTACCCATTGAACCTAGTTCTGTCCACTGGGCCCAAGTAGAAAAAAGCCTAATCTGTCTTCCATTTCTAGTCCTGAATGTAAAGTTAACTATCTTAAAAATAAGAAAAAATAATCTTTTTTCTGTGCTAAACACACCCACCCACCCACACACACACCATCTAGTAGGTGGTATACATGTGAGGTTTTACCTGTTTATTTGCAAAAACAACTAGAGGAAGGGCTGGACCTTTTTGGATCAGCTGATGGAGATGTTCTTTGGCATCAGATAATCGTCCGTGATCTGCTGAGTCCACCACAAAAATCAACACCAGAACCTTGGAGAGGTACATCTTCCAATAAGAGCGGAAAGGCTCACTGCCACCAACTGCAGGAAACCAGGAGAGGGAAGTCTAATCAATAAATCATAAATGCATGGTCCCAAAAGGTTCTTAAAAGGCTGAATCACAATCCGAGAGGAACCCCAGTCCACCTCTGGATACAGACTTTATGAAGAGCTACGGCGAAACTAGTAATGGGGTGGGGCAGTGGTGTAGTTCATGGATCAGCAAACAATGACCCATTGGCCAAGTCCAGCCTGCTGCCTGTTTTTGTATATCTGTAAGCTAAGAATGGTTTTTTCCATTTTTGAATACAATAAAACTTGAAAAAATGGAAAAAAAAAACCCAAACCCCTTCTCAGATCCACAGGGCCATATAGAAACAGGCCAGCATTTGGACCCTGGGCTGCAGTTTGTCCACCCTCAATGCAAGAAAAAGTGACCAGGGTTAGGGGACAGAAGACCCAGCTGGAGTCTTGATTTTGTCACTCTCTAGCAAGGTTATCCTGGACAAATCACTTAGCTTCTCTGAGGCCTAGTTTCCTCAACTGTGAAAAGCAATTCACTAATTCAATGAACATTTATGAAGAACACTGTACTAGGTGGGAGAAGAGATATAAAGATTAAGATAGAAGATGAGGGTCTTGTCTTCAAGGAGTTGTAAGAAGATGATAAAATGTATATATGTATGCACATAGAACTGTAATACACAATATTACATGATAAGTACTTTTGAGATGTGCAGAACAAAGTGTTACATGCTATGACATCGGAAGAGAAAGGCCATTATCACCAGGGAGATCAAGGAAGCTTCATGGTGGAGGTGATATTTAAGTTGCACTTTAAAGGATGGGCAGGAATTCAACACAAAAAGAGAGGGAAAAAAGAGGACAATTCTAGGCTTAGGGAAAGGTGATTAAGCAGAGGCAGAGAGAAAGGGAGAGGGGGAGGAGAGAGAGAGAGAGAGAGAGAGAAGCACCAGGCAAGCAGTAGGGGGAAGAAGGAAGAAATGCCAGTTGACATACATAAAGAAGGAAGAAGGAAGAGTCAAAGATAACACCAAAGTTCAAACACAGGTAACTGGGTTTATTGTCACAGACAGAAATAGTGAAATCTAAAGTAGAAACAGGGTTAGAGGGAGAAAAGGAAAAAAATGTCTTTAGACCTGTGTCCATGTGATATCTAGGTAGAGATGCCTGGTTTGCAATAGAGATATATGTCTGAAACAGAAATCAGAACAGAAAATAACTCTTTTAGAGGTGGTATAATACTTCTACCATCTACCCATAAGAGCTGTTGTAAATGATCAAATGAGATAATGTGTTGTTGTTTGTCCTTGAAGAGGACCGATGACATCATGGGGTAATAGCTTGACTTTCGAGTAAATTGAATTTAAGTGAAGCAGAATTGCACAGAGTTGTTAGCATCACTCTCTCTTCCAATGGCAGGACAAAAGTCAAGATGACTGGCGATGGCTCAGGATACGATGGACTACATTAGCACCTTTGATGCCTCCATGGTGCCTGCTTCAGTCATTTTCATGGCCATTGGGACCAATTGTCCAACCTATGAACCATTTCTGTAGCATCTTTGTTTTGGCATCACATTACAAGATGAAGACAAGAGAAGTTTGTGTTACTGCTTACCAGAGATGATGTGTGAAAGTGCTTTGTAAGTCACAAAGTGCCATATAAATGTGAGCTGTTATTATTGTTATTTTATTCTAGTTTCTATTTGGTTCTAAGGAGCCCCAGAAAGAGTCATCTCACCTCAAAGGAAAGATCTGGCAGCCTTCCTACCACCACCATACCTTCCTCAATGTAGCTCACTTTTTCTGGCTCATCAAAAGATTAGTTGATAAAGATGCTAAATATCTGGAGGCAAAACATTTCATTTGCCAAATCTAATTCCATTTTTGTTCTTTTTCCTTTTGATGTCCCCATCTCATATTTTTGCTTTTCTTTGCTGAGTTGAGAATTTCTGATTCTAAAATCATTTGCTAATAAAACAGAAACTAAAGAGCCAGCATAATGCAGTCAATAGGTTGCTGGACCTAGAACCAAAAAGCTCTGGGTTCAAATTCTGCCTTGGATATTTAGTAGCTGTTTGACCTTAGGCAAGTGATAGTCAAACTGTGGGTAACCTTTTAGAACTTAAGTTTCACATCCATAAAATGAGGATATCAATGCTGTAATCCCTCACAGGGTTTTTGGGTGATTCAAATGAAATAATATATAAAGCATTTTACAGATTTTACAATATTATATAAATATCAGGTCTTAGTTTTGTTAAGCTAGGGGGCACAGTGGATAGAGGGCTAGGGCCTGGAGCCAAGAAAACCTGAGATCAAATCCAGGCTCAGATACTTGTTAGTTGTGTGACCCTGGATAAGTCATTTAACCTCTGTCTGCCTCAGTTTACTCAACTATAAAATGGAGATAATAATACCACCTACCACACAGGGTTGTTGTAAGGATCAATTGAGATTATATTTATCAACATTTAGTACAATGCCTGGCACATAGTGGGTGCTTAATAAATGTTTGTTTTCTTCTCCTACTGCCTGAAAATATAAATATACCTGAAATTTACACCACATTTTAAGGTTTACAAAACAAAGGTTTACCTGTATCATGTTATTTGATCCTAACAACAATCCCATGAGATATGTCCTATAGATACTATTATCTCCCTTTCACAAATGAAAACCATTGTGGATGTCCTATCCCCCTTATGCTGGGTGTCCCTCAAGACTCTGTCCTGGGCCCTCTTCTCTTTTCTCATGAGTTCAGTTATTACAGCCATGCAGATGACTCCCAGATCTATACACATATCCAGTTCCCACGTATTGCCTTAGCTCCAGTCCCAGCAAAATAAGGTGTTTCAATGAGCATGTATCTTCCTGATCACCAGCTTTCTGCTAGATGTGTTCACCTGAGTTTCCTATAATCATCTCAAACCCAAGATATGTAAAACTAGTCATCATCCCCAATCAATCCACTCTTCTTTCAAACTCCGCCATCCATCCTATCAACTAGATTTGAAACTTCAGAATCATCCTCAACTCTTCATTTTCCTTCATTCTCCAAATCCAAATCAATTGCCAAGTCCTATGAATTCTCCCTTCACAATATGTTTTGAATTCATCCCCATCACTCTGCTCATACAGCTACCATCACAGCTCATAATCTCATTAACCTATTGCAAAAATTGATTTATCGGTCTCCTGCCATGTCTCAGGACAAAATCTCCAATGATGATATTCACAGTGTGAAGGTATCTGTTCATAGGGGTTAATGATGCCCTGTGGGATGTCTATAAGGGACACAAATGGTTAAATCAGGAGTGAGATGGGGAGAAGCCTACATTGGCAAACTGGTGAAGTGTTCTTTTGCAAGTCTGTCTGTGTCCGACTCTAAGAATGGTCCTCAAAGGTACACTGTGGAATATTTAAATATTTTTTTCTTAGTGGTCACGCACTAAATAGTCCAATACAAATATCAGAACCTAATGCTCCCATTCACAAATTACAAAGATGTGTACTCATTAAAATTGTAATTCACAAATTACAAAGATGTGTGCACATTAAAATGCTAAAGAATCATTGATGACATGAACATATAACTTCAATATAAACAGATAAAATCGTTTGTTCACAAGTGGAAAAGAACAGACTGACTTACTCTCCAGGAACTCCATCTGCATGTTTCCATTGTTGATGCACACTGCATTGAAGCCCTGGGTGGGAGCAACGCTACGCTGGACTTTATTTGTAGCTAAGGTGTGGAGGACACTGGTCTTTCCTGCTCCATCCAGACCCAGCACTAGGACTTGCTTATTTTGTGCTTTCTCCTATGAAACAGAAAATGAATCTTAGGCCACATCTGTGTACATCTAAAAGCAAGCAACCAGCTATTTAATCAACAAGACTGAATCCACACTCAACAATCCCTGCCTTCAAGCAGCTTACATTCTAAATGGGGGAACAGCATATGCGCATATAAATACAAAACATGTACATAGTGTATAGAAGGTAATTTCTGGGAGGCCCTCATGTAAGAGGTAGCACAAAAGCTAAGCTTTGGAGGAAGCCAGGAATTCTAAAGTGGAGGTAAAGAGGAAGTACTTCCAGGCGCAAGGAAAAGCCAATGCAAAAGCAGGGAGATGAGAAATGGAATATTGTGTACGTGAAACAAGTAAACCGGTTAATTTGAGCTGAAATGTAGAGTTCAAGAAGGGGAGTAATGTCTAATAAGACTGGAAAAGTAACCTGGATCCAGATTGGGAAGGACTTTCAAGGTCTAAGAAAAGTTTAAATAATAGTTTAGAAGTAAAGGTCTTCCTTTGAAACTTTTCAAATATTTAATTTGACCCTACCTAATTATAAAGGAGCTTCTGTATTTGGAAATATGCTAATACTATACTAGGGAAGTGACTTGTTCCCCATAACCTCTCACACCTTTCTAAAAGAGAAATTATGTGCCAAAGATAAAGCAACTTCAGCTGTCTCCATGGTCGAGGACACTCAGAATCCAAAGTAAGGTTAAAAACAACAACCCATGAAGTAACATCTCCCCTGAGCTCACTCAGGACATTCTCCCAGCTCCCATGCTACTGGCAGTGAACCCCAAAGACCCAACACACAGGCATGCATCAAAACCCAACCCCACACCCTTTTTCCTGGAAAGCCATGGAAATCCCGGCTCCAGGCTACGGAAGTTTGCTGGTTCAGTGACTAGGCTGGGGCACTCTAGGGACAGAAACTTGCTGGGGCTACAACAGCCAGCCAGCTCCTTGGCAGGCGGCTGTCTGGGCTGCAAAAAAAAAATCTGAAGGAGAACAGAGCAGAAGAAGGAAAGGAGTAAGACAGATATCTGGGCTTGAAATAGAACTCAGTACCACATATCCCTCCTCCCAGAACCTCAGAGATCCAAACTACAGAAATCAATCTGGACTGCCTTTGGCAAACCAAAGGAGATCTTGAAGCAAATGGGGGGACAAGGTAACAAAGGAACGGGTATAGCTCAGTGAGGGGCAGTGTAATCCGGACAGAGGGAAGGACTTACCATGGGGCAGTGTTCTCTCTGACACCTGCAAGAATTGGCATTGTCTTAGGAGTGAGGCACAATGGTCAAGGGGAATCCACAGGGCAAGTTCTATAAGGCGGTAGCAGAAAATGCCAAGAAAGGACAGCCCAGAATAGATATCTTGGAAGTTTTGATTGTATAAGGAATATAAAGAATAGGGACTTGATAATTATAGAGGTCATCAACCAGAGAATGAGGGCCTAGAGTAGACAGAAAGAAAGTATAAATAATGAAAAAAGAGAAATCCTCTCTGGAAAGGGGTACAAAAAATGAAATTTTTAAAAATAATGAACAGGACTAAAAGGAAATCTTTTCCCTGTGGGGAGAAGAGGAAAAAGAAATCTATCTTGAGTAAGTGAGACAGGGGAAGGGGGGAAGAAGTATGTAACCAGAAAAATACAGGTAAAAAAAGTCTCTAATTAATAAGCAAAACCCCAAAGGAAAGGGCTAATAAATGAAAGGGGGTGGGTAGAAGAAATAAGGGAAAGAGAGTCAGTGGGAATAGGGAGGGCCACCTGAAAAAAATTAAGCTAAGGTAACTGAAGGAACGTAATACTATCTTCACAGCATAAGAAGGAAAAATCATAACTTGATAAAAACCTAATATTAGATAGACAGATCTAATAGAAATAAACAGAAGAAAATATACTCCTAATTCTCATAACATTAAATGTGAATGGATAAAATAAAAAAAGTGACAGATTGGATAAGAAAACAAAAACCTGCAATCTGTTGCTTACAAGAAACAAATTTAAAAAACAAAGCTATAACACAAAATAAAACTGAAGGAATGTAAAAAGAAATTTTACTACATATTAAGTAAATCAAAAAAGCAGGAGTTGCCTTCATGCTATCTGATGAAGAAAACAAACATCCAAATAGTAAAAAAGGGATAAACAAGGAAACTACATTATGCTGAAAGGAACCATAAACAACAAACCAATATCATTATACTTATTAAACTTATACACTAAAAATGTCTTAGTAACCAAATTCATAACGGAAACATATGAGCTACAAGAAGACAAAGACAGTAAGACAATAGTGACAGGAAATGTCCACATTCCTTTTGGTTCTGGATAAGACTAACAGAAGAATAAGCAAAAGGGAAAATATGGAACTGAACAAATTGCTAGAGAAACTAGAGTTAAAAAATTTATGATGTTTTCTAAACAGGACTGCTAAAAATATACTCACTACCACACAGAACTTTTACAAAAATTGACCATTGTAATAGGGAGCAGAGATATTGTAAACAAATGTACAGAAACAGTTCATGCATACTTTATAGACCATAATGCAATAGAAATAATCATTGGTTCAGGGAACCAAACAAAAGATATAGACCCAAATAGAGATTTGATGATGCAATCTTAAATAATGAGTGGGTCAAAGAACAAATGACAAATAATTAATAATGATGTAAAAGAAAATGATGTTGATGAAACCACACACCAAAATTTCTGGGATGCAGCTAAAGCAGTCCTCAGGAAAAAATCATAACCCTACAAACATATATTAACAAAAATTTTTAAAAGTGGGTTAATAAACTGAATGTTCACTTTAAAAAATCAGAAAACAAACAAATAAACATAAAGTAAGCACAAAAAGAGATATTAACGATTAGAGGAGTAATAGATAAATTGGAAACAAAAAAACTCATTGATATAATAAAGAAAACTAACTGCTAGTTCTTTGAAAAGACTAATGAAAATTGACAAACAGCTAATCTGATTAAGAAGAAGGCAGAAATCAATAAAATAGCAAATGAGCAAGGTGAAATCACTACAAAATCAGAAGAAATAAAAATCTGAACATATTATGCAGTTATATACTAACAAAACTGGGAACACAAAAGAAATAAAGAAATGCTTTCAAAAACATGAAATATTCAAACTCTCAGTAGAACAGATTGATATCTTAAATAAATCTCAGAAAAGGAAATAGATCTAATTTAAAGGAACTCCAAAAAATAAAACTACTGGTCCTGATAGATTCACACGAGAATTCTATCAAACTTTTAAAGAACAATTAGTACTCATACTTCACAAATTATTCTCAAAAATTGAAGAAGAAAATATCCTATCAGAATCCCTTAATGAGACAAATATAGTCTTGATACCTAAGCCAGAGAAAGATAAAACACAAAAAGAAAACAACTATAGGCCAATATTATTAATGAATATTGACCCAAAATGTTTTTTTTTGATTCCATTAAACAGATATAGCAATTTTTCAAAATCACTCATTATGACCAAATTGGATTTATACCAGGAATGCAATGATGGTTCAACATTAGGACAATAGTCAACATAATCATATTAGAAACAAAAACATGCAAAACCATATGATCATCTCAATAAATGTAGAAAAACTTTTGACAAAGTACAGAAGAGTTTTATGCTAAAAAACCTTTGAAGTATAGGCATAGAAGGACCTTTTAAGAAGCATCTATCTAAAACCAAAAGCAAACCTCATATGCAATTAAGATACATTAGAAACTTTCCTAATAAATATAGAAGTGAAACAAGTATGCCCATTCTCCCCACTATTATTTGATATAGTTCTGAAAATGTGAGCAACAGCAACAAGACAAGAAAAAGAAATTAAAGGCATAAAGATAGGCAAAGAGTATGTAAAACTATTCCTATTTGCTCATGATATGATAGCATGCTTAAAAAATTCTAGGGAATTGGGAAAATACTCATTGAGACGATAGTTTTAACCAAGTTTCAGGCTACAAAATAAACCCTCAAAAATCAGTGGCATTTCTATATAATGATAAAACCCAACAGGAAATAATAGGGAAATCCCATTCCAAATAACTATAAAATGCATAAAATATCTGGGGACTGACCTTCCAAAGCATAAAGAGGCTTGAATTGACCCAATTACAAAGTGCAGAGAAATTTTCAGTGATGGGTAGGCCATGCCAATATAATAAGAATTATAATAATTCTAAAATTAATTTATTCTTTCAATGTTACATCAATCAAATTATCAAGGGGATACTTTATAGAACTTAAAATAATAAAAAAATTTTGGAAAAACAAAAGATCTAGAATATCAATGGAAATGATGAAAAGAAGTAGAGATGAAGGGAAAATAGCACTTACAGTTCTCAAACTATATGATAAAGCAGCAGTCATCAGAACTGTCTGGTACTTGTAAAAAAAAAATAGATAGATCAATGGGAACAGAATAGATAAGGTAGAATCAGAAACAATGGTGCTCAGTGACCCAGTGTTAGATAAAGTGGAAAACATAAATTACCTAGGGGGGAAAACCCTCTTTATTTGATAAAAACTGATGGTAAAACTGGAAAACAGTCTGGCAGAAACTAGGCTTATACCAACATCTTATACCACATTCCACAACATGCTAAATGGACATGTGACCTTAATATTAAAAATCATACTATTAACAAAATCAAAAGAGAAGCAGATCGTATACCTCTCCTCACTATGGGGGAGAGATGTATTCTTAACCACAGAAGAGAGAGGCAATTAGAAAAGATAAAATAGATGACTAATCACAGAGAAAATAATAATGGACCTAGGACATGAAGGGAAGTAGTTGAATGGGAAAAAAAATAATCTTTGTATCAAAATTTTCAAAAAGGGTTGAGTATCCAAGATTTAGAAACAACAAATGAATGAATGAATAAATGAGACTAATAGTCACAGGATATGAATACATATTTCTCAAAAGAAGAATTGTAAAAGTATTCACAACCACATGAAAGAATGCTACAATTCACTAATAATAATAAGAGAAATACAAATCAAAATAGCCCTGACGCTTTACCTCATACTGAGCAAATTGGCAAAAATGATAAAAAATGGAATGGCAATAGTCTATGATGGAGGAGTTGTAGAAAGATAGGCACACTAATACATCGTTGGTGGAACTGTGAAATAGTACAGCCATTTTGGAAAGCAATTTGGAATCGTGTAAAGTGACAAAAATGTCCATACCCTTTGATCTAGAGACTCCATTATTGAGTTTATACCACAAAGAAGCCATCGATAAGAAGTAAGTCTCATATATTAAAATATCTATAGCAGCATTTTTGGTGATAGTTAATAATTGGAAACAAAGTAGATGCTTGGAGGATTGCTAAACAAATTGTGGTACATGAATGTAATGAAATATTCCTGTGCTATAATAAATGATGTATGTAATGAATACAGAAAACCATGGAAAGATCAACATGAACTGATGGCAGATGAAATAAGCAGAGCCAAGAAACAACATACACAATAACTACAACAATTTAAATGGAAAGAAGAACTTGCGTGACAAAAAAAAATGTAACAAAACTATCAAGATTAAGCAAGATTTGAATGGAGAGAAGAGGATATCCCCAATCCACTTCTCTGTGGAGGTGGGAGGCTCACAAGTGTTACAAATTGTACATGTTTTCAGATTTTTTAAATGTATCGATCAGTTGTGCTGATATTTTTTCCTCTTTAAAAACATACAGGACAGGAGAAGGATACTTGGGACAACTATGGTGACATAAGAAACAACACATTAAAAAAACATATTAGGACTCAGCAATAATCAAGTCTATTATTTATTTATTTATTTTTACCACAGGACACTCCAGAATTTCTCATTTTTCATTTATTCCAATTGAATATAGTGCCCAAACTCTCTCTAGTTTGTTTTACTCCATTCTGGTTTTTCTCCCTTTAAAGAAGATTCTCAATCTATTTTTTAAGTCATGGACCCTTTGCCAGTCCCAGGAAGTCTTTCAACCCTTTCTCAGATAATGTTTTAAAATGAATAAAAATAAAATACATAGGGTTACTATGTTATTATGCATTATTATTACATATTATATTAGAGTATAGTTATCAAAATTTTTTTTAAGTTTACAGACATCAGTTAAGACCCATTGCTTTAAAAGGACTTTACTGTAATTGCAAAATCTCTTTTCAATTACCTGGCAAAGTAGGATGGATGAAGAAGGAAAGAAGAAACAGCCAAAATGGATACCTTGCTGATCATCTTCTTCAATTTTACCCTCTCTCTCCTCTACCAACAAGAACACAGTCTCCTGGAGCCTTTTGTGGGGTCAGACCACATAGTCAAATTGTATTTATGCTACACCCAATGGATGACAGATGCTGCCTTATACACAGTAGGGGATTCATTCCTATTTCTGCTAGCTCCCATATCTCCAAGTCACTCTATCAAATAAACATCTAACCATTGGGACATGCATCTTACAGATGCCATATATTACAAACTACTTTTTGGATTTTATTTAACTAATCCTCATTTAAGTTCTCTACCTCCTGGTGTCACATGTTTAAGAGACTGTTAAACTGAGGTTTTTGTTTATATAACTACTTGTACACAGATAATACAGGGTTTCCCAAAGGTCTACAGCTTAAAAGCACCTTTGGGACACCCTGTATATTCACAGGCCATGAAAAAGATATATATCCCTTCAACAGTATTTCTGAGAATACTTCAAATACTTTCTTCTTGATAATAATTTACTAAATACTTAAAATTAATATAATGGAAATTTACTTTCCCACGTTATGCCCAAGTCTCACAAAGGTATTATACACATTGTTCAGTCATCTCACTCATGTCCAACTCTTAGTGACTCCATTTGGGGTTTTCTTGGCAAAGACTAGAGTGGTTTGCCATTTCCTTCTCCAGGTCATTCTACAGATGAGGAAACTGAGATAAATAGGGTTAAGTGATTTGCCCAGGGTCACACAGCTACTAAGTAAGTGTCTGAGGTCAGATTTGAACACAGAAAGATGTTTTCCTGACTCCAGACCCGGCACTCTATCCACTGCTCCACCCAGCTGCCCTGTGATATACACTACAACAGTAGGAAAAACAAAGTTATTTTTCATATAGATTGACAGATTAATAACCACCCAACAGAGTTGAGACTGTTAATTGCTTTTGGAATAGTTAACAACTCCGGGGGGCCAAGTTCCCAACCACCTCAGAGATCCAAAAGTGAAAATAGTTCTGATCCAATCAATGCCGACCCTCTGAGACCCCTTAGTTACTCAAATGAAAGTTGACTTTTTGACAGTCACCTGCCATCGGTAGGTAAACAATGGCGGTGGTGGCCCTAAGAGTCAGAATGCACAATAACCCAGCAGATACTAGCCAATGTCTGGCCTCTTCCAACAATGAAGAACGCTAGAGGACGAGGGAAACAGAAGGTTGGAGGGGCTCAGGTTGACACAGAGCATCATTTGCCAAGCTCCAGGCATCCTTTCGCTAGCCTTGGTCTTACCACCGCAGGAGAGAAGTCGGTCTCCCGCTTCCCACCCGGCACAGCCCAGCTCGGCCCACCTGGTCCCTCACCTGTGACTGCTTCTGGGATGGTACAGTTGAGGTGCTGCTCTCGTCCTCTTTTTCCCCCACTACAATCATTTCTTTCTTCTTTCTCCTCCCCATTTGCGGAGGAGAAGCAGCCCGAGGCTCCCCTATTTGTGGTCGGGACAACTCTGGCTCGGCCGTGGGGCGCGGGGAGGACACGTAGCTCCACACGACGTAGATCACCCCTCCTGTCACCGCAGCCGCCGCGGCCGCCAGCCCCACCACCCTCACGCTGCGGCTGGCCATGGGTCCCGCGGTCTCTGCTCCTGCCCCTGCTCTGGCCCTGCCGCCAGAGCTGCATACGCCGCAGCCGTGCAGAGGTGCACGGGCCAGGCCTTAGTGCCACGAGAGCCACCCACGAAGGGAGTCCAAGGGCGAACGGGATCCGACAGAGCCTCCGTGGGAGGGAGGTGAAGGCTCCGAGCTCCCGCAGTCCCCCCCTCTGCCCTCCCCGGGGGCGCACGCACAGCTCACGGGGCAGGGACTGTCCCAAAGGGCCCACCCTCAAGCATCCCCAGCTGTCAGCTGAGCCCGTCCGGTTTGGTCTATAGCTGCTGACTTCTTCTGCTCAATCTGCCAGACCGCTCAGTCATCACAGCCCTGCCCAGGGGCAAAAAAACCCCAAAAAACAAAAAACCTAATACAACCCACGAAACTTCTCAGCCCAGCGCATAGCCTCCTCCAGTTTGTCAGCTTGGAAGCAAAACTGGGATCATTTATCTTCCTTTTCTTAAGCAACCTCCCCGGAGTCATTTCCCCTACTTAGCAAGAAAAGAAGCTTGCCAACTTTAGTCATAAGGCACTTTACTAGTGCCCTGGACGATTTAACAATAAAAAATGGGAGAAACCACCACACTGTAATCAAATCCCTGAGACCCCCCCCTTTTTTTTTGCATATGTATCCCCCAGCACCCTGCATAAAACGTGTCCAAAGTTTAGAAATCCATGTCTAGAAGACAAACTGTGTTACTAAAAAATCCTTCTTGTACACTGCCAATCTAGATCAGCTAAGAGAATGACTCTGATCTCTAATCCTGCCTAATGGCTTAAATATAAAGCACATCAGCCTTTCCAGGATCAGATTTGGGCTTTATCCTTTTGCTACCCAGAACTCTCATCCCTTATTTATGCTTACAAGTTTAAATTCCGGTAGGATCTTGAATAGTCAGTCTTGTGAGTACAGATGGTGCCAGAAAGGTTAATTAGCTAATCTTCAGGGAAAAATGAGCTACATACCAGTTTCTAAAAATCTGTAATTTACAGAATGAATGCTAAGACTTGCTGAAAAATTCACCCCTCCTTTACTAATGTTTATTAACCACCACTTGGTCAGTTATAATAACCAGCATTTTATATAGCCTTTTACAGTTTACAAAGTACTTTACATTCATTTTCTCATTTGATCCTCACAACAACCCTGTGAGGTAGGTAGTGCAAGCATTTTGATCCCCGCTTTACAGATGAGGAAACAGGCTCTGAGGTCACACAGCTATTAAGAGGGAGAGCTCAAATTAGAACTCAGGACTCATGACTCCATTTCCAGTTGCTCTTTGCATTACACCATGGGTCTTCCCCAAACTTTGTTAAAAGGGACAGGCCTACACGCATATTTCTAAAGGCTACAATGGATTAAAAATTCATGGTGTATTTTTAATAGTTTAAACCGTTTGGCCTCTCTCAGGATATCACGTCTATACTTAGATTTTGGTAGGTGCAAGGAGATGACACTTTGAAAACAATTCATCCTTAGATGGAATGAAATAAAAGATATTCAACTTTCAATACACTTAAGTCTCCCACAAAAATCCTGACACCCAAGACACTTTCATCCACATTCACTGCTATAATGTTTTATTTTAAAATGTCACAGTGAATGAAAGGATCCACAATGATTTATATATATGTACATATGTGTGTATATATATGTGCATATATATATACACACATATACATTCACACACAAATTTATACAAAATGTCACTGGCAAAATCCCTGTCCACAACAGGGTACAATTATTAGCAAAATTAATTAGGGTCCTATTCACATTTCTACTGTCAATTATAATCATTTGTTTAATCTGAGGTCTGCTTAGGACAGGCATTAGTATGTCCAACAATAATGACAACTAAGAGGTTTGCCTGAATTTCACTAATACATGTGAAATATACCTTGGTCAAAATTTTCACAGAAAGAGTTCTTACCAAGATTTTATGGCTTACTTAAGCTAACAAATGATTACCCTTTACCAGAGAACTACAAATAGGCCTAGTACATACATTTGCTAATAATTATTTCTGTAATATATATGATATACTCAGAAGAAATTAACTTTTTTTCACTCATACCAAAAATAACATTATTCTGGCTGAGTTCAAGATATTGTTTCATGTGTACATCACAATCAATCCTTCCTGTTTCAGGATCCAAAAAAGAAACGCCAGGAAGTTTTCTCTGTTTCTCTCACCCAGCAACAAGGAAAAGTCCTGAAAACTATGGTGAAGAAGTTCTGGTAGCAATGTTGGGACTGAAGTCTAGCAGTATTTAATTAACAAGGATGAAATAAAGTAATCACCAGCAAACGTTTGTTGGACTTTAAAAAGGTCCTGGGACACATCAAATGACTAGTAACAAAAAAGCAGCATTCCTATGCACAGAACTAAACAGTTTAACAAGAAAAATAGATTCTGTTTAAACACAGTGGCATATGAGGGAAAGGCATAGGCAACACTTTTAAAGACCAAGCTGAGTATAAGAGAATACTTCATTAATTTGGGTGGGACATGAGTGTCAGAAATCCACAACTAGAAAGTTGGAGCTGCTTGTTTGAAGGATAGCACCTATCACAGGAATACAATTCCTTGCTAGGTCTCAACACCGACCTGCTAATAATACTGAACTGCTGTGTGAATTACCTCTCACCAAGTTGTATGCCTATGTATCTGCATGGGAACATTCCCTTTTTTGTATGAGACAGGATGAAACCAATTCCTTTGCTGGAGCACTGCATGCTGGAGTAAACCACTCACCATACTGATAATGGCCATTTTCTTTCTTGAGCTGAGTGTGCTAGGTCAATACAGTATGTTGCTAACTTCTGAGACACAGAAAGGCTGCGTATTTATAAAAATAATAATGGAGTGTGAACCACCCGGTCCCCTAACATTATATAACAAGAGGAAGTGACTACAATCACTGAAAACAATTAAACTGAAAAAATGCCCCACAACCACTTCGCTGTGAAGAAGCCAGGGAAGGTCCAGGTCCCCTTTTCATGGAGCGATGCTTCCAAGCAGCTTGCTAGTGTGCTTGGAGAACTCCATTTTCAGCCTCTTTACTCCTAGTAAATCATGCTTTAATAAGTGGAAGGTGAATGCAACAAGTGGGTCTTCAGAGTCAGTTGAAACTAGTGTAAGAAGGTTCCAGTTTTAACATAAGCCGGAAAGACCTTGGAGAACACGCCTTATCTGTGAAGCTGGGAAGGGCCAGGGGGGCCCACAAAGAGCAGGGGACAGCAGATGATTACAGCGGGCAAATACTCAACTGCCCCATGTCCTCTTAACTCTGCACAAAGGTACATGACATGAGGAGACTGAGAGTTAAGGCGGCATGGAGCTGAAGGGCGTGACACTTACGACTCCTGGATGCAGAGAGCACAGAAAACTAAACAGAACATTAAGTCAATTTAAGAGGGGAATAAAAAAGCCCTGTGCTTGTTGCTGTTTGACCTTTATTATGTTCCTGGTGCCTTACAGTGGGAAAAGATAAAAAAATAGACTGTGACATTAATGTCCAAATCACCAGCCTCCTTTTCCACCTTTCTTCTTTTTCTGTTGTTGTTTCTTCTTTGTGGCGGGAGCTCCTGCAGGTTTCTGGTGTCTTGGGGGTATTATATTACTTGTAGAGGCAGATACTGCAGCAGCGCTCCCAGGTCGGGGGGAAGTGGGTGGGCTGGACACAGTTTTACTAGCATCCCTGAAATAGGCCAGATTAAATAAGGCTTATTAATTTATTCAACACAGGAAAAGCAAATAAAAAGTATATTCCTGAAGTCTTACTTACTTTCCCCAAATAATGCACACGTCTTTTAAAATGTCATTAAGCAGTGAAACTGATAACTTTAAATATGGTCATTATTTACATTTATCATATCAAAAACTAGTGAATTTTTTTTCTCTAACACACTGAGTGTACCCTTTGCAGTATACTTATAGAAAGATACAAATAAGAGTCTCACAGAACGGGCTGGTATGTAGGGTTGCAATATTTTAATTTATCTTTGGAGGAAATACCTATGTAGATAAAACCATATGTCTATCAAGTATACATGACAACCAAATAAGAACCATATTTTGCTTCCCTTCAATTAAACAAAAAATTCCTTTCTCTATTTAAATGAAGTGTTCCCATTTCTATGTGAAATAAACAAAACAGCTTTTCCTTCAAGTCTAACAATTATCTTAATTTGGAAAGCATAATATAGACAAAGAATAAAGTATTCACATACTGTAACTGATGGATTGATCAAGAGGTTGATAGGATGGTCAACAAAACTATTTGAAATTCTGTAAAATTTAAGTTATGTAATTCCTCAAAGTGCAAGAGAGTTCAAGTCTCTAAAGTTTTTCAAGTTTCTTTCCTTATCAGCCATTTCAGTGATGAGAATATTGGCAGGTCAGTCAAATTTAAGATTAGGCATCAGGCTTCCACATCCAATCAGTCGCCATATCTTGTCAAGTTTTACCTCCATTACATCTTTGGTATCCCTCTTCTCTCTTTGCCTGGTACAGGTCTTGTCACCTCTAAAGTGGACTACTAAAATAGCCTCTTTCCCCACCTCAAATCTTTCCCCTCTCTTAGTCACTGTCCACACAGCAATCAAAACCAGCTTCCTAAACACAAATCTGACCATGTTAAAACTACTCAATAAATTCCATTGGCTCCCTATATTAACTCAAAGATCAAATATTTTTTATCTTCATCTTACCCTTTCATAATTTATATTTTTGTGTAAGTTTTATAATCCATGTAATTAGTACAAAAGGACATTTTTATAACTTCCAAATAAGTAACTAAACACACATCAGGTGGGGTGTGTTCATTTTTTTTTTTTTAACCAATAGGGGCTTGTGATTAAAAATGTTTGAAGACTACTGATGATACAAGGCATTAAATGCCCTTCAATCAGTAAAATGATAACGTCTTTTGAGACTGAAAGCACTGTGCAAATAGTCAACACTTACAATTCCGATGAAGCTGCTGAAGCTGTTCCCTGTGTCCCTTTTCCTATCAAATCCTTCTTTTTACCCTTCTTTCTTCCCCTGTAGTAGGAACGTTCTCGCATGGGAAGCCATCGCTCTGGATCTGGGGTAACTTTAGGATCATAATTCTTGGGTAGTTTTCCTGTTTAAAGAATGTAAATAAAGAGTTTACATACATTACGTTTTTGTTCTGAAATAAAGCCAAAACTGAAAAAACAAAAATCAAGCTGTAAGTAATGATTAATTTGAGTAAAAGCTGGAAAGTTATCCAGAAATCTAGAACTCCAAATATTTAGGTTACTGGTACCTATGGCCATGAGACCATATCATATGTGCTTTTATACGATTGTCTCTAAGATAAAATAGAAACTCATCAAGTTTGTGTTTAAAAGTTAATTTGGCTCCAACTTACCTTTCCAGACAAATTCACAATTCACATATTCCAGCATTCCAGTCAAACTAGGCTACCTGTTATTTCTCAAATTCACCATTCCAGCTCCCACCTCAATGTCTGTGAATAAGCTGTCTTATCTGCTTAGACTACACTCTCTAATCTTCATTTAGTAGAAACCTTTGCTGCTTTCCAGACTCAGGTGCTACCTCCTAGAGGAAGTATTTCCTGATCTCCATAACTGTTAATACTCTTTCCCTTGAAATACCATATACTAACTTATGTATGCAAATATTCCCAGCAAAACAGTCCCAGCATCATGGAGAAAGCTCCATGAAGACAAGTACTGTTTTTCATTTTTGTGTTTCTATGTCCAGGGCCTTAGCACAATACCAGGCATGCTGCAGGTACTTAATAAATGCTTACTGAATAAACTCAATTAACAAGAATTTATTGCACTTCAACATGCCCAAGACTGTAGTAAGAATAACATTTGGCAAAAATTAAATAACTAATTTTCCCTCCATCTTTTCTTGAGTGGGGATGGTTAGCAAACCATCTTAATTATTTTAGGAGTTGGATATCTACTTATTTCTGATATTAATTTCATATTTCAAGGATCCACATTTTCATCATTTGGAAACTCCCTCCACTAACATGCTTCCAAAACCCTCTAATCCTGTAAGCCTTCATGAGTTGCTGTGGCCAAGTAATACAAATAATTTAAGAATTATTGGACTACCTGAATGCCATAATAAAAAAAAGAGCCTAAACATCAAATTTCAAGAAATTATCAAGGAAAACTGCCCTGATATCCTAGAATCAGAAGGTAAGTAGAAATTAAAACAATCTACCAATCACCTCCTGAAAGAGATCCTGAAATGAAAACTGCCAGGGATATTACAGCCAAATTTCAGAGCTCCCAGGTCAAGGGGAAAATACTGCAAGCAGCCAGAAAGAAAATTCAAATACCATGGAACCACAGTCAGGATAACACAAGATTTAGCAGCTTCTACATTAAAGAACTGGAGGGCTTGGAACATGACATTCTGGAAAGCAAAGTAGCTAGGATTACAACTAAGAATAATCTATACAGCAAAACTGAGCATAATCCTTCAGGGGTAAAATGGAGATTTAATGAAATAGAGGACTTTCAAGAATTCCTTATGAAGATTAATACTTAAATTAATTAAATTAATTAAAATTAAACAGAAAATATGACTTTCAAATACAAGACTCATAGAAGCATAAAAAGGTAAACATTAAGGAGAAATCATAACGGGTTCAATAAGATTAAAATGTTAACATTCCTATATGGTAAGATGATACTTATAACTCCTAAGAACTTTATCATTATTAGGCCAGTGAGAAGAAGTCTTCATAGAGAGAGGGCAGGGGTATGAGTTGATTATGATGGAATGATCTAAAAAAAAATAAGAGGAATGCATTGGGAGAAGGGGGAGAGGAAGAATGGGGAAAGTTATCTCACATAAAAGAGGCATGCAAGGAACAGCTTTTAGAGTGGAGGGTGGCAGACAACGCTTGAACCTTACTCTCAATGGAATTGGTTGAAAAAAGAAATAACATACAGACTCAATTGGGTAAAGAAACCTATCTTACCCTACAGGAAGTAGGAGGAAAAGGGTGATAAGAGAAAGGGGGAAGGCTGCTAGAAGGTAGGGCATAAATAAGGGAGGCAGCAGTCAGAAGCAAAACAGATCTTTGAGGAGGAACAGGGTAAAAAGAGGGAGAGAAAAGGATAAATAGGGGTAAAAAAGAGAAGGGAAATACACAGTAATAAAAATTGTGAATGGGATTAACTCACCCATAAAACGGAAGCAGATAGCAAAATGGATTAAAAACCAGAATCCAGCAATACATTGCTTACAAAAAACACACTTAGAATAGACACACAAGAATAAAAATATGAGACTGGAGCAGAATCTATTATGTCTCACACCTAAGTAAAAAAATTAAGGGAGGCAATCATGATCTCAGACAAAGCAGAAGCAAAAATAGACCAAATTAAAAGAGATAAGCAGGGAAACTACATTTTGCTAAAATGTACCACATACAACAGGTAATATTAATATGAAACATATGCACCAAATGGCATAGCATTCAAATTCTTAAAGGAAAAGTTAAATGAGTTACAGGAAGAAATAGATAGCAAAAATATTCTAGCAGGGGTCTTCAAATTTCCCCTCTCAGAACCAGATTAAATCTAACTATAAAACAAATAAAAAAGAAGTTAAAGGAATGAACAGAATTTTAGAGAAATTAGATATGATAGATATCTGGAGAAAACTGAATGGGAACAAAAAGTAGTACATTTTTCTTGCTGTACATGGCACCTTCACAAAAAGGGACCATGTATTAGGCTATAAAAACCTCACAAACAAATGCAGAAAAGCAGAAATATTAAATGCATCCTTTTCAGATTATAATGCAATAAAAATTCCATTCAATAAAAGGCCATGGAAACACAGATTAAAAATTAATTGGAAACTAAATAATCCGATCATAAAGAATGAGTGGGTTAAAGAACAAATCATAGAAACGATAGTTAATCTCATCAAAGAGAATGGCAACAATTGAAACAACATAGCAAAATTTATGGGATGCTTTAAACACATCAAAAGAGAAAGAGGAGGTCAATGAATTAAGCATTCAATTAAAAAAACTAGAAAAAGGACAAATAAAAACCCCTAATTAAACTCCAAATCGGAAATCCTGAAAATTAAAGGAGAGAGATTAATAAAATTGAAAGTGAGAAAACCACTGAACTAATAAATAAAACTAGGAAATGGCTTTATTAAAAAAAAATAAACCAATGGTTAGTTTGATTTCAAAAAAGAAGAAAATGAAATTACCAGTATTAAAAATGAAAAGGGTGAATTTACCATCAATGAAGATGAAATTAAAATACTATTAGTAGCTATTCTGCTCAATTATATGGCAATAAATCTGACAATCTAAGTGAAATGGATGAATATTTACAAAAATATAATTTGCCCAAATTAACAGAAGAGGAAATAGAATACTCAAATAACACTGTCTTAGAAAAAGAAATTGAACAAGCCATCAATGAGCTCTCTGTGGAAAAATCACCAGGAACAAACGGATTCACAAGTGAATTCTGCCAAACACCTAAAGAACAATTAATTTCAATATCGTGTAAATTATTTAGAAAAATAGGCACAGAAGAAGTCCTACCAAATTTCTTTTAACATAAACATGGTGCTGATACATAAACCAGGAAGAGCAGAAACACAGAAAGAAAACTATAGACTAATTTCTTTAATGAATATTGATGCAAAAATTTTAAATAAAATAGTAGCAAGGAAATTACAGCAATATATCACAAAGATCATAAGTTATGACCAGATGGGCTTTGTACCAGGAATGAAGGGCTAGTTCAATATTAGGACAATGATCAGTATAATTGACCATATATCAATATCAAAAAACAATAAAAATCATGATTATCTCATTAGATGCAGAAAAGGCTTTTAACAATACACAACACTCATTCCTGTTAAAAACACTAGAAAGCATAGAAACAAATGGGGCCTTCCTTAAAATGATTTATCTAAAACCATCAGCAAGCATTATCTATAACAAGGAAAAGCTAGGAGCCTTCCCAGTAAGAACAAGGGTGAAACAAGTATGCCCATCACCACCACTATTATTCAGTATTGTACTAGAAATGCTAACTACAGCAGTAAGACAAGAAAAAGAAACTGAAGAAATTAAACTAGGCAACAAGGAAACAAAACTATCATTCTTTGCAGACGGTACGATGGCATACCTAGAAAATCCTGGAGAATCAACTAAAAAACTAGTTGAAATAATTAACAACTTCAGCTTTCTACAAATATCAACAAAGTCCAGCAGGAAAAAACTGAAGGAGAAATTCCATTTGAAATAACTGCAGACAATATAAAATATTTGGCAATCTACCTGCCAAGAAGACAAACCCAAGAACTATACAAACACAAATATAAAACACTGTTCACACAAAGTCAGATCTAAACAACTGGAAAAGTATCAAGTGATCATGGGTAGGCTGAACCAATATAATAAAAATGACAATTCTATCTAAATCAATTTACTTTACAATGCCATACAAATCAAATTACCAAAAATCATTTTACAGAGCTAGAAAAAATAACAAAATTCAACTGGAAGAACAAAAGGTGAAGAATATCAAGGGAATCAATGAAATGAATGTCAAGGAAAGTGGTCTTGCAGCACCAGATCTCAAATTGTGTAACATAGGTAATTATCAAAACACTCTGGTATTGGCTAAGAAATAGAGTGGTGGATCAATGGAATAGATTAAGTACACAATACAGAGAAGTGAATGACCATAGTAATCTAAAGTTTGATAAACCCAAAGATTCAAGCTTGGGGGTAAGAACTCACTATTTGACCAAAACTGCTGGAGAAACTGGAAAGTAGTTTAGCAGAAAATAGGCATACACCAACATCCTGCACCATATTGTCAAGATAAGGTCAAAATGGGTACATGACTTAGATATAATGAGTATATTATTATTTAGATATAATAAGCAAATTAAGGGAGAGCAGAAAATTTTACCCATCAGATCTATGGATGAGGGAAGAATTTATGACCAAACAAGACATAGAAAGCATTAGAGAATGTAAAATGAATAATTTTGATTATATTAAATTGAAAAGGTTTTACACAAACAAAACCAATGCAGTCAAGATGAGAAGAAAAGCAGAACACTGGGGGGAAATTTTTTACACCAAGTTTCTCTGATAAAGGTCTCATTTTTCAAATACGTAAAGAAGTCAAATTTATAATACAAGTCATTCCCCAATTGAGAAATGGTCAAAGGATATGAACAGGCAGTTTTCAAACCAAGAAATCAAAGCTATCTATAGTCAAATGAAAAAATGCTTTAAATCACTATTGATTAGAGAAAGGCAAATTAAAACAACTCTGAGGTATCACCTTACACCTATCAATAATGACAAATGCTGGAGCTGATGAGGAAAAATAGGTCCATTAATGAACTACTGGTGGAGTTCTAGAGCATCATTCTGGAGAACAATCTGGAACTATGTCCAAAGGCCTACATATAAAACTGTGCATACTCTTTGATGCATCAAATACCACTACTAGGTCTGTACCTCAAAGAGATCAAAGGAAAAGGACCTATATGTACAAAAATATTTACAGCAACTCTTTTTGTGGTAGCAAAGAACTGGAAATTGAGAAAATGCTCATCAATTGAGGAATGGCTGAACAAGTTATGGTATATGATCGTGATGAAATACTGTGATATAAGAAATGACAAGTGGGGTAGTTCCAGAAAAAAACATGGCAAGACCTGTATGAACTGATACAAAGTGAAGTAAGAAGAAAAGGGAGATCACTGAGCACAGTAACAGCAATGCTGTACTAATGATTAACTGTCAAAGACTTGGCTACTCTGACCAATACGGTGATCCAAGACAATTCCAAAGGACTCATGATGAAAAAATACTATCTTCCTCCAAAGAAAAAACTGATGAACTGTGACTGCTAATTAAAGTATAATTTTCTCACTTTCCTTTTTTTCCCCCCCAATATAAGTAAGATGAAAATGTTTTGCATGATTTCACATGTACACTTCATTTAAAAAAAGATGGAGGTAATGGTCTTCCCTATACTCTGCCTTGATCTGACTACATCTTAAGTATGATGTTCAGTTTCGCATCCTACGATTTAGGAAGGACGCTGATTAACTGGACAGCATCCCAAGGAGGGCAACTAGAAAGGTGAAGAACTCAGTCTATCAAAGAAGAATGGGTTGAAAGATCTGGGATTGTCAGGATAAGAGAGGACTTCAAGGGAAACACATAGCAGTTTTATTCAAGCAAGTAAAGAGGTATTACGAGGAAAACGGATCATGTTAGTTGTGACTGATCCCTTGGGGTGGGGTAGAACCAGGATAAATTAGTGGAAGATACAAAGCGAAAAATTTAGCCTAGATGTCAGAAAAAATTTCCTAGCAATTAGTGCAATGGGTTGCCATAGGATATGGGCATTGCCCCCTCCTGGAGGGTCGTAGAAGCAGAGATTAGATCCATCTATACAGAGGATACTTTTCATGTATAGGATGGATTAAATAGTTGATAAGGTCCCTTTCAACTCTAAAATTCTATGACTCTGATCTTTGTAAAAAAATTTAGTTTGGGAAAATTTTCTAATTTAAAAAACCTGGTTAAAGGAGTCAATATTCAGTGAAAGCCTTCTCTCAAGTGATAAGATTTCTGATCTCACATTTATTTCTCTCTTGATATATACACACATAATGAAATATATTAATGCAACCAGAGCTTTAAATACATATGATAGCACGAAAAGCAAGGTTTTTTTTTGCAATCTGTACTTATTATGGCAAAGAAGAGTAACTGCCTTATATAATAATGCATCTAGAACTAAGTTTAATCAAAGTCAGTTAAGCCAGACCACATCTTTCACCCACAATCTGAAGAATATTTATTTCTACACAAAAACATAAGACTACTATCTATAAATGTTGTAGAACAAACTTGGATGGTGAAACAATTGTCAATAATGTGAAAATCACAATTCTAGCTATAAGGAAATGAAAGGAGAAAAGACTTTCTTCCAGAGGGATTCACTAAAAGATGAAAAGAAAACTTGGTTTCATCCAATGGTAATTTGTTGGAATATGTAAAACAAATTTACCTTTCTTTTTTTTCTTCTTTTTCTTTATGTCTCCTTGCCTGGAAAAATAATGAAAATAGAAAATATTTATGGAGCATCTATTGCTTGAAGATAATTTAGAAAACGGAGAATATAAACTATGGAACCTCTCCTCTAAAACTTATAATCTAGTGAAGAAAATAAACATACAAAAATCATCAATATTACATGCATACTTCAGAGAACAGAAGAAATGGCTATTGAGAAACATTTTTATTTGGGAATAAATATTTCACACACAATTTAAAAAAATTAAAATATTTAGAGACAAAACCAAAAACAGAGTACCAACAGGCTAAGAGGGTTTGACATAATTGAATCCAGCACCTTAATTTACACACAAAGAAACTAAGGTTCTGAGATATTAAGCAACATGTTTAAGGTGAGGACCTGAATTTGAACCCAAGTCCTCTGATTCCAAATTCATAACGTTTTTCCACTACGTAACATGCTATTCTGCACCTGACAAGAATGCAGAAAAAGAAACTAAACACTTTACAGCCTGTTTTGAGGGGTGAAGCAATTTAAGTAAACATTTCAAAACCAACCTGAAAATCTGGTAAATACCAGTTAAACAGATAACAAAACTGAGTGACCACTTCAGGTTTAAATATTCACAATCAAACGGGCATTTTTTGTATAAGCTGGTAGAGTATAATTATTAGAGTTGAAATGAACCTAAAATATTATCTAGCCCAAGTATGCACAACCTGCAGCTCGCTTGAAATTCTTTGGCATGCCTGCAGGCCACATGTTGTGCGGGCCTGATCTAGCCCAATAATCCCCTTATAGTTGGCATGAGGAAATAGACCCAGAGAAAGTAAGTGACTTGTTCAAAGTCACAGAACTAGTTATTGCCTAAGAAGGATCCGAAAGCCAGCTATCAACCCCCAGCCCAAGTACATCTACTACAATTTCTGCCAGAAACTAATTTTATCAGTTTAATGAATCTCCCTAAAACTTATTCCAATGAAACTAGAAAATGGAAGAAGCAATCTACTTTGACTTGGACTCGGGTCTTTCATTCCAAAATTAAGCATAAAGATAAAATATCATAGGATCATACATTTAGAGCGAAAAAGAAATCACAGAAATCATTTAGGCCAACTCCCTCGTTTTGCAGGTAAGAAAACTGAGGCCCAGAAAACTCAGATAATAAAAAGCTGATCAGAAATTCAAACCTGGATCTGATACCAAATTCAACATTCTTTCCACTATACCAGGCTGAGACTCAGGTACTACAATCCCCTACACATGCCTAATGAAACATTTATACTGCAAGTTATACCTAAACTTAAAAGGTATTATACATACAACATATTTTTTGAATTGGGATGGTGAGATGGGAGGAGGGACCAAGGTACTAGAAAGGGAATGTACATTAAAAAAATTGTATTTTTCACTCCAAACTTAATCAAAAAAATATATATATTAAATAAAAAAGTAAACTGTAAAAGGAAGAATTAGAAAAACCCCAACAAAATGTGAATTTAACTTAACTAATGCTATTTTATGGATCTTTGATTAGACTGTAAAATTGTGATCCCTCTGACAATTGAAAGGAAAGAAAATAAAAGGAAAAAAATTACATGGGAAAAGAAAACATGTCAGTTGCTTGATGTCAATAATTGCACTTTTTAAGTTGTGAAGGAAAACATCTTAAGATTCCAAGGAAAACTAAAAGAATAAAAAATTTCCAAATGACTTTCAAACTGTGTGCTTTTTATACTGTGAATGGTATGTCAAGGCTGCAAAATAAGTAGCTGTTTTAATTATCAATACCTGAGATCCTAGAGGTTGATGGAAAGGAAAAACATTTTTTTTCTTACCATAAAGATCATCAAACTAGTTCTCTCTTTACCCAACCTGAGTGTAATATAAAATATCACCATTTTTTGTTTTGTTATTTGCTGGTGTTTTTATAAGGTATTAACAATGAAAATCATTACCCTTGTTCTTTCAGTGGGTTCTCTCCAGTAAGCTTCCCACCTTTCTTCCGAATGTATGTAGCACCATGGGAATTTTCAAGTGCTTCTACATCTACTTTCAGGGACATACTATCTGATGAGGGCAAGTGTTTACTAAGACTGTGACACAGTAACAGTTCAGGAAATTAAAATGAATACATGTACCATCCATAAGACAGTCTCAATTTTTAGCATTAGCAAAAAAAAATCCTTAAATCCCAAAAAGAATAAAAATTTAAAGAATATAGTAACATCAGCAAGCCACATAGTCAGATATATTTATGTACCACATATCTTGATAAAAATGGCATGGGAAAAAGACTGCATCCCTTCTTCAGGCGAGTGGTATATGGGAATCCTAACAGCATGGCTTAACAAACACATCATTCTAAAATATCCACCAATCTTAAATACAGATTGGAAGTAATGGATTTTATCAGGTGTATGGATTCAGATCTGTACAAACAAAAAAAAATAAAGGATACACTTTTGCCTTCTCAGGATCTACCAGCGAATAAGCAGAGATAAGCTGTGCCAAAGTGTGAACATCTTTTGGATTTTGCCTGCGAGAAAAATGAAAAATTTAACACAAAAATTCTAAACATAGGAACTAATCAACAAGCATTTATTAAGAGCCTATGTGTCAGACGATGAAGGCAAAACAAAACAAAAAAACAGCACATGCCCTTGGACGTAAAATGATGGCAAAGTAATTAAGATGTCCACCCTTGCACCCATAAAAGTTTACTTCCATAGTTGCTCCAGGTCACTAATTGCGTCCTTCTTCCTCCCATATTTGAGTTTGAAGTTGGCAGCTTCTCTTATCAGGGACAAATGAACAGAAGACTTTGGCTGCAGGTTCATTAAAAAAAGGAAAGTTTTAGGCAAAATATTTAACAAGTGTCACTGAAGTGACAGACCACAGAAGTTTGTTTCTTCATTAATTCGTCTATTTTAGCTTTTAATGATAGTCTCAGTTATTTGTGGAACATTTCAAAGGTGGAAAAATCAAACTGTAAGTTAACCAAAAGAATAATATCCAACTTAAAAGGAAGTTGTATTATATTTATTTTTAAGACAGTGTTTGAAATTGGGTCCATTTCCCCCTAGAAATAGTGTTACAAAAAGGTTAGGTTCCCAAATAACCCCTCTACTGCAGACAGATAGTAAAGTGATCATGTAGCTGAACTGTATTACTAACAATACTATGGAAACTAACCACTCACTCTATTGTTCTTAATTATAAACTCATTCCAATTCTATTGTCAGGGTTAAACCCTGTGAGCAGAGACTCTTCTACCTCTCTGTTACTGGCCTTGAGAAAGGGGAAGGGGAAGGGAATACACATTTATTAAGAACCTGTTATGTGCCAAGTACTAAATCAAACATTTTACAAATATTATTTTATTTGATCCTCTCAGCAATCATGGGAGGTAGTTGCTATTATTATCCCTTATTTATAGCTGAAGAAACTGAGGCAAACAGAAGTAAAGTAACTTGTCAAAGGTGACACAACTAATTGAATGTCTTGAAGCAAGATCTAAATTCAGATTTCCTGACTCCCAAGGCTTTATCCCCTGGTACCACCTAGCTGCCTGTGAGGTAAAGAAGGCCCCACAAGAACCCAGAGTGGTAAGGCAAGGGGTCCCAGGTTTCCCCAACTAAAGGGAAATGCTCCATTCCTAAGTAAAGGGTATTTTTAAGAGTTTAAAAATTGAGAACAGCTCGTACTAAAATGTTATTGAAAATAACTAGAAAATTCCTGGCAGAATTGTTAAACATTTTTTTAGAGGACAACATGGTCTCCATTTGCAGCATTTATTACTCAGTATGTACTTATCTGAACCTTCCACTAAAATCCTATCTGATGCTTCATTTAGGGGGAAAATTTGTAAAGGTTTCAAATACAGATCTGGCAACGGAATGTTGTTCATGACAACGTAGATGGACTTGAAAAGGCTCATACCCAGAAGACTGGCCAACAGAGGATTGTATTCTGGTCACAGCGACTCATGAAGATGATGTATTACAGTAGGGAGACTATTAACAGATCTTCTGATACAGTGTTCTACATAATCTACAGCATGGACCATGACAAATGGAAAAGAAGACTGTAGACAGTCATGACTCACTCAAGAGTGACAAAGTGAGAGTTTTCCCTAATATCCTTCCAGGACTGTCTGAAGTAATGATATGGTATCAAGATTTCTCTTTCTCAGGACTTATTAAACTTGAGGGACACAGCTGCAAATGCCTTCCCCTGGCTCTAATAATTTAGCCTCCACTTGCCATATATTCTAAAAGAAACCAAAAATAAAAATAATAAATTTTCTACAATGTTGTTATAGATTGGTCCTTCAACATGGCATCACACTAGTACTGTCCCCATTAACTATATTGATTATACATTTTTTTACTGTGCTTCCTGAATAGAACATTAACCAACAGGATTTGCAGTTTATAGATCTCTAGAAACGCCTAAGGACACTCAGTTTAAGGGACTTACCCAAGGCCACAAGAGTGTTCCTGTCAGAAGAGGGCTTTGGACTAAGGCCTACTTGATTCCAAAGCCAGCTCTTTATTCACTATGCCACACTGCCTCTCCTTTCAGTCTTCTCAACTGTTGGGTTTTTTTGGTTCAAGAATACAAGGGGATAATAAAAAAAGAGATGAGATTTGCCTAGCTTTATCTGATTTTGTTTGGGGATTTTTGTTTTCATAATTAACTCAGGATTTAAAAACTAGAATGGTGAAGATAACAATGTCTAAATATGTTGTCAGCAAACATCCCTAAAGGTCAGTCTACAGAGTCTGACCATACTTTCTTTTAAAAGTTATTACAAGTACTACATAAGGCATTGTTATAGGGAGTTACTTGCCTTTATGGAAGTAGCCCTATTTTACAAAAAGAGCTAATTGTTAAATTCAGAGAAGTGCAGGACAGGGCAATATATAAGTAAATTGTCATAAAAAAGTTATTTTTTAATCTTCTTGAATGGTGCCAATACTTGGAGGTGCCAGTACTTGGGGGAGGAGAGGGGTTTTACCTGTACTTAAGAGAAACTAAAATAAAGTTAAAAAAAAAAAAAGGCTCAGATCTAAAGCTAGCAAGGACCTCATCAAAGACCATCTAGTCAAATTTATTTAATTATTTAATTTAAAGTTTATAATTATTGTAGTCAAAAAAATTCCCAATTAAATTTACTTACCTGGTGATTTTGGTACCAATGGATAGCTTGAGTAAAGACCTCAATGGCACTATCTATATCTTCTTCATGACTGTACATTGTTACTAATGCAGACACCTATACAAATTTTTAAAATTAATATATAGTAAAATTAATCATGAATTTTCTAGAATTTTTTCTAAAATCAAAAACATTAAGGATGTAATAGTCAACATATTTTGGCTTCTTTGTCAGTAACTATCTCATGTGTATTATAATGCTACTATTAGGGCTAACTAAAGCACTTCCCAAAAGAAAGAATTGTGACGAATAAAAAAAACTGTCAAGTGTTTTATTAAAAGAAGGTAAAATTATTTGTTTAAATATTTATCATTCCATTCCTCTAAGGAACGTAGGAAGTTATAACTTTTACAGTGAATAGTTATTTAAAATCAACATTTACTAGCTCTATGGCAATAGGCAAATCACTTAACCTCTCTGGGCATTATTTTTCTTATTTGTAAAAATCAGGATCATACTGGCAATATTCACTTATCAAAATGCTGTTGTGAAGGAGTTTTGTGAGCCTCCAAATTCTATAAGATAGTATGAGTTATTATTGTCATTGTTGTGCTTCCGTGGTAGAAAAGCTGAAAGTTTTGAGCACAAAGCCTCCAATAACTGCCACCCAAGGACCAGCCTCACTAAAAGACTATTTCTCAGGGAATAAATTATTTTAGTCACAACTCATAAAGACTGTCTACTCAGGAGTAGATGATCTTGATTTGAGGTGGACCCTTCTCATACGAAAGCTGTTTCCTGGTTTACTATAGGTCATTTCCAGGGAATCTCTGATTCCAGGGAATCCAAGAAGTTCTTCAGTTTACTGACAAGCATAGGTCTCCAGTGTGCTGATAATTACATTTCTTGCTACAAGGACTGGGCCTTTTAGCTGTCTGCTCTTACAGCATAAAAGCAGCCCAGTGTTAAGATTTCATGACAAATTTCTATCAAGAAAATGGCTCTAAGTATTTAGAAAAGTCCTCAGATTTTCAAGAATTTTTGATCAGGTTGAAATTTAGCATTTTATTTCTGAGTCCCCATTATTACTTTGTAGACATGGCATTTAATTACTATCCTAAACAAATGAAATATCAATGAAATCTGTTTATTTTCATGCAAATAAATAACACAACCTACTTCTGTTACTCAAAAAGATTTAACAGAAAAAAAAATTCTCACTTTTGTTCCAAAGTAAAAGCTAGAATTTGATGATTAAAATAGGGCACCAAGCGGCAAAAATAGAATTTCCAACTCACAAAACGCTACTACAACAATCTAATGATAACTCCTTAGACCTGCCTACAATAGCATTGTCACAGATGTACATTTATATTTTAAAATAAGGGTCAACATGAATATTACATTTAAACCAACACGAGTAATAAGCAAATCAAAACAGTTAAACCAACTATCATTAAGTTACTCTAGCTGTGAAATAATTACAATTTGATACATAGTTTTATAACTGAGAACAAATATTACAGAATCAGGACCAAGTCCATCTTATTTTGATGTACCGTGAGAGCCTTGACATTACTCCAAAGGACCACAGGTAGGCTAGTCATTACTACACTGAAAGTGTGAGGAATTTTTTGTGGAAGCTTTGTGGCTTCTAGGCAAGCAAGTGAAACATTTTCTCAACCTGCTATAATCAATTATCCATTAATATTTTGCCTTTCAAAGTGACACTAATTCACTGTGGGTAAAGCTGTGAAGTAGTATAATCATTCTGAAAAGTAATTTCAAATTATGCAAATAAAGTGACTAAAACATCTATATGTACCCTTTGACCCAAAAATTCCAGTTCTACAATTATACCTCAAGAAGGTCAATGGCAAAACGGCTCCACACACGCCAAAATATTGGAAGGAAAACTGTTTATAATAGCAAATCACTAGAAACAAAGTAGATATCTACTAACTTAGGGGATGGCTAAACAAATTGCAGTATATGAATGTAAAGGAATGTCACTTGTGTTTTAAGAAACAATGAATACATGATAAATATAGAAGCATGGCTACCATGACTCTAATTTACCTTGTAAAACATTGCAGGTAAATTGCTAATAGTAAAAGCCAAATAGTTAACACTAATGCTTTGTTAAAACATTAGCAATGGTGTTTTAATGACGTTATGGCCTCAATCCTAACTGGGTTCTTAAATAAATCTACTACTTAATGATTCTGAAAATAACTTCAACTTTTTAAATTTTGAAAAACTTGCTAATTGACTTTATGCTCAAAATTTAGTACATTATTTAATGCAGGACATAAATTATATGATGAAATTTTTGTTACTTCAGGCAAATTTGATTTAATTCAAAATACAACAAAATCTTAGTCCTTTTTGGTTTTGTCTAAATCTGTTACTTTCTTGTACTGGTGATTCTGTCTAATTCTGTTAGCTTAATGATGTGTTGATTTTCCTAATATTAAGAAATCTTCATATAGCATAAGGGCTGTTGGCATACTGAAAAGTTATCACATTAGTAGCAGTATATGTGTTTGCCTTTTGTTTTTGAAACTTGTTTATAAATGTAAATAAACATTCCCTTTTACTTAAAAAAGAGAAAACCATAGAAAGACTTTTATGAAATGATATAAAGTAGAAAAAATAGAAACAGGAAAAAAATATACATACATAATGATCAGAACAACGTAAATGGAAAAGCAACCACAAAACTACTGAAATGAAATGCTGCAAAATATAAAGAACCAGTTTGGCCCCAAACATAAGATCCCTCCCCCCAAATCTCCTTGTAGAGTAGCAAGGTGGGGTCTATGAGTATGGAATACTGTAGTTGTCTAATTTATCCCCCCAGATTTTGTATAGTTTGATTTTACTGAATCATTTTTCTTTTCTTTCTCTTTTAAAATAACAACAAAACTTTGTTATAAGTAACGTCTCTGGAAGAAAGAGGAAGAATATAGTCAAAAATGTTGGTGATAAAAAACACTTCTTAAAATCTATTTTAAAAATATATTACCTATCATAGAATATTCCTAAACCCCAACTTGACTACTGAGCCTCTCTAATTCTCTAAGTCTTCTTAATCTCCTAATTCTGTAACTCCATCTCCCAATAACTTTGTACCACCTTCATTTGATTTTTAGAAAGGATTTTCAGAAGATCATAAACTATTTTGCTGAACCCAGTTCAGATAAAGAATTTGGCTATGGCACTCAACATATGTCTGTGATCTGGCTCCACTCTTACACAAGAAATAAAAATGCCTTGAGCTGAAATTACAGTGCTCTGGGTTAATTCTCAGCAATATAAACTAAGCAAATGACAGTTCCCAATAAGTTCCTATTTCATTTCCTTTTCTCATCTTGTATATGTTAGTTATAACTCACCATGCCTGGTTTATGCTTTAACTCTCCTATACTTCTCAAGATTAGACATGCTTTGGTAATATTACCTGAAGGATAAAACAGAAGCAATATTTTATAAAAAAAAAATCACAAAAATTTTAGTTTACCATTGCTTTTCCCTTATCCCTTTCTTAATCACAAGAAAATGAAAGCTAATGATTTACATTAACTTAATCCTTTAATTTCTAGTTAACTAGTCTCACACCAAAAAACTACAAAAGATAATGCTCCACTCCCCTCCTCCGACAATTCATTGTTCCTAAGTATGTAAATACTGGAGTATTTGTTCTATGGGTAAAAACTGACAGGCAGTGTGGTGTAATGAATAGGGAGTTGTCCTCACAGCTAGGACCTGATTCAATCCAGACACTAATAAAAAATGGTTATGTGACTCTGGGTACCCAATGGGCAATGCAAAAAATTACTCTGAAAAAATAAACTATTTCCTTTCCTTCTAATCTTTTATAAAACAACAAACTGTCCTAAATAAACCACATGAGGTCTTAAAACATTGTGTTCATATTTTGGAAAGGAGGTCAACAAGCCAGAAACTGTCCTAGAGGAGAGGACAAGAGATCATGCCACACCAGGATCAACTAAAAGAAACAGATCAGAGAAGAGAAAACTTAGGCAAGGAAAATAAGAGCAGCACTCTGACTCCTGAATGAAGGATGGACTAAAGTGGGGAGAGACTTAAGGCAGGCAGACTGGCCAGCAGGCCATTGTAACAGTCCAACAAGAAAATATGAGGGCCTGCACCAGGGCAGTGGCAATGTCAGAGAAGAGAAGGCAGTATATGCAAGAGATGTTGCAAAGGTAAAAATCAGTAGGCCTTGGCAACAGATGGGCTCTGGGGGTGAGAGGAAGTAAAGAGTTGGTTGTGAGCCTGGGAGACTGGGAAGACAATGGTGCCCTTGACAGTAATAGAAGTTCAAAAGAGGATAGGATTTGGGGGAACGAGAATGAATTTAGTTTTGGACATACTGAGTGTAAGCAGACTTCAGAACATCCAATTCAAGATGTTAAACAGGTAATCTGAGATGAGTCTGGAGGTCAACACAGAAACTAGGGCTAGATATTAGAGTCATCAGCATAGAGATGATAACTAAATCATGTGGGAGCTAATGAGATCACCAAGTGAAATAGTGGAGGGAAAAGAGAAGAGGACCCAGGATAAAGCTCTGTGGGACAACAGTTATTGGTGGGTATAACCTGGATGAAGATCCAGCATAGAAGGCTGAGAAAGAATCATCAGATAGAGAGTAGTATTCCAAAAACCTAGAGGGAAGACAGTATTAAGAAGAGGGTGATTGGGGCAGCTAGGTGGCACAATGGATAGAGCACTGGCCCTGGAGTCAGGAGGACCTGAGTCCAAATTCAGCCTCAGAGCAGGTACTTGACACTTACTAGCTGTGTGACCCTGGGCAAGCCACTTAACCCCAATTGCCTCACCAAAAACTAAAAAAAGAAAAAAAGAAGAAAAGAAGAGGGTGATCAATAGTGTCAAAGGCTCCGGAGAGGTCAAGATGGACGAGGACTGAGAAACTGCCACTGAATCTGGCAATTAAGAGATCACTGGTAACTTTGGAAAGAGTAGTTTTGATTGAATGATAAGGTGAGAAGCCTGACTGCAGAGTTAAGAGACTGAGAGGAAAAGAAGCAGAGGAACCTATTTTAGATGGCTTTCTCAAGGAATTTAGCCACAAAAGGGAGGAAAGATAAGATGACAGCACAGATGGATGGATCTGAGGATGGGAGAGACATGGTCATATTTATAAGCTGCAGGAAAGCAGTTAGGAGACCAGAAGAGATTGAAGATGTATGAGAGAGCAGGGATAATAAAGGTGGCAATCTGCTAGAGAAGATGGGATAGAATGGGACGGGATCACTTGTGCATGCAGAGAAGTCTGCCTTGGCAATGATAACTACTTTATTATGTGAGACAGGCATGAAGGAGATAAACTCAGGGCTACAAGTGCTAACAACCTCAGAAAACAAGTTTCCTTCCCCAGATACAGCCAATTCTACGGCTTGATTCAATCATTCAAACACGTGAACAAAACATAGACACAGATAATTTATATAATGGATTTTTGTTGTTGCTTGTAGGAAGGAAGGTGGTCTCAAACTATGATTCAGAGTTTGAGGAAGGCGCACCTGAGGGAGAGACCTGGATTTAAGTTATTTGCCCTGCTGGCCCTGGGCAAGTTCTAGGGCTGTTTCCTCACCTGTTAAATTAGAGGGTGGACCTAAATAATTTCAAAGTTCTTTTCAGTTATACAATTCTATGAGCATACTTTTGCTTGCAACTTTTTAACTGTCAAGACAGTCCAATATTCCCCTAAGAAGGAAATAGAAAGATCTCATCAAAAGACCAATTCGCTGCTAAAATTCTTAGACTCCAACATGGTTCTTCTTACATTCTAATCTCATGTGAAGTCAAAGTTACTTCAGGATAACTCAAACTATCTCATGTTTCATTAAAAACAAAATGATATTACAAAATTATTAAACATATCAGTACCTTGAGCAATTTTCAGCTGTGCCATGGTCAATTTAATTTCTGCTGCATTGGCTGGATGCTTTTCTGAAAATTCCTATGTATTTTTGGAGAGAAAAAATAGAGACTCATCATACATTTTATTTAATAAACTTGTCAACTCTTGATCTCTCAACTATCTAACCTCTTAAATAGCTTTTAATGAATAAATTTTCAGGGTACAATTTGAATCATAGAAATTCAGGAAAATCCTACTCGGAAGGATGAGTAAGGATAATAATTTCAACACATATTTCTGCTCAAAGGTGTGTTGTGGAAATTGAAAAGCAGGGTAACATGTTAGAAAGAGAGAGCTGGGCTTCAAGCCTGGAATGATATGAGTTCAAATCCTTCCTCCAACACTTATCAGGTATGTGCCCATAGACAAGTCCTTAATCTCTCTGAGTCTGTTTTCTCATTTCTAAAATGAGAATAACTGTATCACCTCCCTCATGGGGTTGTTATGATCAAATGTGAAGCACTCTGTAAACCTTCAAGTACTACACAGATGTTGATTCTTGAGTTTCTCATGCTTTATAATTATGGAATAATGATCACTACGAATATTATGGATTTGAATAAGTTATTTTTAAAAATGTATAATAGTCACTATAACTTCTACCCTTTACCTTTTCTCTCTGGAAAATGTTCAGAAACATCAGGTTTCCTGGAAGATGTTTCACTGTATTTCACAAAATGTAAGCGATAAATCTGAAGTAGATTTTCCAATAAATGTTGTCTGCTTTTGCTTGCTTTCCACCCAAATTCCAAATAAATAAACCAAACATATAGTCAGTTTCCCTATTAGCAAAATCAGAAGCCAAAGTGTACCTTCAAAACCTCATAAATCTGGGCTATGACTAATCTAGAAATCAGGAATGAAAGAAAGAGTAGCTATCTGTGGCCCATCTCACACCAGACAGCACAGAAAGCATGTTCTGTTGAAAGCAGTCTGTAACTAATATAAGATAGGTCTCTAAATGAAAAGGCACTTGATGTGTCTGTGACAGAGAATTCCACAGGGCAAACACAATCTAATAATGGTATAATTTTAAAATGAACTAAACAGGTTTATGATTTACCAATTACCCCTTACCATCAACTCCCTACCAAGTTTTAAGAGTTGCTGAATCATGATGAAAATGATAAAGCAGGTCACAACAGTCATTTAATCACCTGAAGGAGGTCTATTGCCTTTGCATGTTGCTTTTCCCGGCAGAGTTGAGCAGCTTGGATTAACACAGGCAAAAGATGCTCAGGACTTTGGGACTGTAAGCTGGTTGATATTTTACGGCACTGATCTGCCTAGGTAGATAAGATTTCATTTTTTCACAAAAATAAGTAAATGATTACAACCATGATGACAAATAGTAAAGAATAAAAGGAGAGATAAAACCATGTGAAATAAGACAGTCATTTTATTTGGATGAATTACAAAATAAGTATGGCATTTTAGGTAGTCTTATTTTCATTTTATCCTTAAGAAAAAGCTACATTTATTTGGAAAGTACAATTTATTAAACATAATACAAATGTGACTATAAAGTAACAAGATTGGCCTTAACATGTAACAAGAAATTGAATCTTCAAATGAATTGTCCTCCTAAAATGTTGTCTTGGGAGTCCCTTAAAGTAAAGGAATTAGTTTCCTCTGTGTCACTGTATTCCCCAAAGCCAAGTACAGTGCACAGCATATAGTTAAGTAACTTAACAAATTCGTGTTCAGTTAAAAAAATGTATACACTCATTCTGTGGAACTGTCTTCACAGTTAATTTATGAATCACAAAAGAATACCTCACCTTACAGTTATACCCCTTTTTTGTACCAAAAACATTATTAATAGAAATGTGAATAACCCTTTATTCATCAGATTTGCCTCTTCATAATTTCCGTTAAGTTCCATAAAATCAAATCTATCCTCAAAGAATGGAAACTTAATACTCCCAAGGAATATGTCACAAGTTTAAATACAAAGTCAAAAAAAAGTTTCAAAAATGACCTGAACAATGACAGCATTTTTTTCAAAAAGTGTCTAGCTTTCTACAGTGTTGCTTTTCAAAGAAGTAAATACATATTTGGATGTGGAAAAAGTGGCACATTTAAAATAAAATCTCATTACAGTCATGTTTTATATGAGGATTTGCTTAAAAACTAGCTTATCTAAATATTTTTAATTCAAAGTCTAACAGTTATTACTTAACAATTTAAGTAATCTTTCCATCAGCACCAAAGGGAAAAAACTTTATAAATCTTGAATTCTGTACTCAAGGAAAGTTGATATTAAACTAGAATTTAATCTGAATTTTAGGAACAGGTAGAGTTAAGATCTTTGCTCTCATTAACATTAATAATTCACTTTCTATATATCCATAGAACAAAAATGAAAACCTGTTCTTGAACCTAAGACATGATTAGCACTTTAGAGAATTTAATTTTATTTAGGGTGATTAGACACAGAACAATGGAGAGAATTTATCGAAATTAACAAGTATGAATATTATTCTCTCCTTCTAAAAACTCCTAAGTATTGCACACACTCCAGGGATTCTGAAATTATACAATAAGCAAATCATACCTAAGATATACTGATAGTTTGATCACAATAGGAAGAAAAAAATTGTTATGTAGTTTTACAAAGATAGAAAGAATGACACAAAACAAATTTGAGTTAAGCCTTAAATACCTCAGTAAAAAAAAAAAAAAAAAAAAAAGAATTAGTAGGTTGCATATTTGTAACAATAATTAGGAGACGGTTACTTACTTGGTTCGTATACATAGCAAGTAAAGCTTTGTTAAATTCTATAGCCTGCAGCTGTTTCTTGGAAAGCTTATGCTCAACTCCTTCTGCATTGGTTAGTTTCACTTTTTTCTTGGAATCGAAGACATTTTGGTCCTAATGAAAAAAAAAAATCCACGAGCGTTACTAACTGCCACTCAATCTTTCAGTTCTTTAGTCTCTTAAGGCTACATTATAGAAAGACTCTGCAACTAGATACCATTACATCTAGCTTATTAAATGTAGTTAGGTTATAAACACTATATATTCTATAGGACCCTTACAGAGAAACTGCAGTTATTAAGCCCCTCAAGCAGAACTAGTCTTTAAGAGGTCCTTAGTCCCCATACCGGGCAGCTCAGTTGCACAGTGGATAGAGCATGGGCCTGGAGTCAGATGACCTGACTTCAAATCTGACCTTAGACACCTAGTAGTTATGTGACCCTAAGCAAGTCTTAACCCTGTTTGCCTAATTTCTTCATCTGTTAAATGAGCTGGGAAAGGAAATGGCAAACTACTCCAGTATCTTTTCCAAGAAAGCCCCAAATGGGGTCATTAAGAGTCGACACGACTGAAATGACTGATCAACAACAAAGTCTCCATATGTCATCTTTGGTACCACAAAGAAACTCAGATTTGTCCAATGATTCAAATGTCCCTAAGTAGCAATTATTCCCATGACCTTATGAATCTACTTTCAGGTAAGGAAGGCCTTAGCAGTTAGCAACATCACTGAAGGTGGGCCAATTAGAGTTGTTTTATTCAGCTGTACTTTGATAACAAGTATGTCAATGGATGGTTTTGCTTTGTTAATACAAATAAACAGAAAAAGCACAAAATTTACTATGTAATAAAGAGAACAAAGATACTGAAATTCATTACTCCTTCTGTTGGAGAAGGTACAGAACACAGAAAGTTGTAAGCTGAGAAAGAAGGTAGTTGTGTAGGTGATTTGTGAAAAAAGCCAGAGACTGAGACTGGGAAGAAAAAACTGAATATCTGAAAGAAAACAACCTTCTGGTCCAGTTTCTACTTTCATCTTTTATGGAAGGTTGAAAAAGAGCTGGATCAAGGAGGTAAAAGAGAAGCGACTGAAGAGAAAGGCTTAAAAAAAATGAAAAGTTAAGTAAGAAGTACACAGGACAAATTAAGATAATTAGACTTGTTCTATTTTACTCTAGGGGGCAGAACTAAGAACAATAGGTAGAAATCATAAAGAGGAAAACTTAGGGTTGAACATAAGGAAAAACTCGAAGTATAGATCTCCAAGACTAGATGGACTGCCGCAGGAGGTGGTCAATTGTCCCTCGCAGGAAATCTTCAAATAAAGTCTGGATGACCACTTACGAGGAACAGGGTGTCACAGAAAAGATACTTATTCAGGAACTCTCATTACAAGCTGGCCTCTAAGGTCCCTTTCCAAGTCTGTAACTCAATGATTCTTTGTAATCCCCAGGTTGAAATGACTATATGGGTTGAGAATGGTGCTGGACATTTGCATAGGAAGAGTGTGACTACATAAAGAACGTTCTTTTGAAAATTATGAGGAGACTTAGCATGATAGGAATAGTTGATGCAAGCTACGGTATCCTGAGAAGCAATAAACTAAACATGTGCTATGTACATAGCACTGTTTTAGCTGACAGTAAATTGATCCAGTAACACATTAGTAATGAATCTAAACTAATATTTATAATATACTTTCTAAGCCGGTTTAACTGGTTTTAATAGGGCTAAAAGGATAGTAAAAGGATAGTTGAAATGTACAAATAAATTTTGCCTTTAAAATATGAACATAATCCTGTGTAAGAATCACAAACTAGTTTGAAGAAGTCTTGGAGAACCTCTAGTCCAGTCTCATTTCAGGGGTGGACATCAAGGCTCACAGAGCTGGAGTGACTTGCTCAGCAAATTCAAGAAGTGGCAGGGCCAGGAACGAAGCCCAGAGCTTCCAACTCTAGATCCTGTTTTCTTTCCATTACACCAGCAGACTCTCAAAACTCCAAAATAAGTTTCCCATCTAAAAGAAACTTTAAGAAATGAAATTCTTTACCTCGTTTTCCTAATTCTAATATTTTCCCCTTTAATCCATTCTCTATATTTCAGCTTTATTTATAATATATTTATTATATATTATGTATAATATATTATAACATATAATATTGATATTATATATATATATAATATATATTACTTTTACTCCATTCTCTATTTCAGCAAGACTAATTATGCTCAAACACCAGTTTCATCATTTAATTCCACTGTTTTCTATTTCCGGCTGCACCACATTTACACTTCTTTCCCTGGCTTTCGCTGTCCTCCATAATCTGGCCAGGTCAACCTCCCTTCTCTTATCACACCATGCTCATTCCTACCTGTCCACTCAAATGTCTCCCAGAATGTTTTTTCCCTTCATCTAGATAAATCCCAGTTCAAATTTCATCTCCTTCCATGAAACCTCTTATAATTGCTTCAGTCCACAAATGATTTCTCCCTTCTCTGAATTTCTATTGTATTTAAAAATCTGCCCTACACAGCGTATTACTGTGTGATTAAAGAAGAAAAATTGAGTACCAGAACGATTACCCTTAGATTCTGTTCCAATAGAACTTTTCTGGTTTGCTATGAAAAAAAGGAGCATTCATTACCAAACAGTGCAGAGGTAATGATGACTTCATTTAGAACTTTTCATACCTTGTTAATTGTAATGATGTTATTTGCAATTACAGCAAGCAATCCCACATCTGTTGGCCTATAGACAAGAAATGACAGTCAAAATATGAAAGCCATTAAAAATAAACCCAACCCTCGTTAAAGAATACAACATATCACTTTAATAAATCTCTTACTTTAATTTTATTATCTGATTATAAAGCTGCAAAGCCTCTTCTGTATGACCCTGAAGTTGGAGAATATATGCCATCTGACCATGAATGATTGCTAGTTCTGCTTGTATGTCTTCCTCAGTCACATCCTAGGTAAGAAAATACGATAGGGTTTTAATCTGAATTAACACCACATAACAAGTACAGTGTCCCAAGCTTAGAATTGGCAGCCTCAGGAGTGGGTTACCCCTCATAGGAAATCTTCAAGCAAACTCTGGATGACCATTTGTGGAGTGTCACAAAAAAAAAAGTCTCATTCAGTAATGTATTTTAGAAGCCCGTCTCTTTTGATTCTGTGATTCAATGATTCTTTGTAATCCCCAGGTTGAAATGACTATATGGATTGAGAGTAGTAAATTTAAAGAGAACATAAAGAAAACTTTTAGAAGGAAAACATAGACTCCTTAGATGTAGGTGATCATCCGAAAAACAAGCGCAACAATGGAGATGTATGACGTTCTCTTATGTTTATTTTTTTAGGTACATCTTAAATAAAAGAATATGTAACAGTTGTCCAAGCTTCAGTTCCACCCAGACTTTCAATTCAATGGCACTTCATGACCAAATTCACATAGCAGAATTTCAACAATTTAATTAGTTTGGTCAATACTCCAGAAAGTCAATAAATCACTAAATCTAACAATTACTAGATCCCAAATGCCTAAAATTTGATGTAGCAACAATGGCATACTTACAGAGTCTTCTGAGAGTGATTGACGGCAAAGATCTATAGGAAATAAAATGTTTAAAAAATTAACTTAGGCTAGATTATAACTCTTTTTCTCTATATTCCACATGGCTGGGTCTAAAGTCCATGGAGAAGATTTTACAAGTCAAGTTTTTTAATTATCTGCCAAATCAAGGTTTACTGAGAGCATCAAATACACTACAGACGTTATCATCTCATTAATTCCATCTCTTTAGACTTTTTCTTCTGCTAACCATCTACACTGAACTGCCACTTATGAATATCTAGTCTTCTCCTTTGCTCTCACTACTTGTCAGATCTATGAGACATGTAAGTACATGCTATTTCTACCTTGCCCATCATTATTCTCATCAGTTCCTCCACCTACTTTGTTCTCAACCATCTCAAATTTATGACTTCTGCGGGGGAAAATGTGTCAAAACAGAAAAAGCGTGAGTTCAGGAGTCATAAAGATGACAGCATATCATTCTTACTAAATTTATTTGAAGAGTCAAACATTTTCTTATCAAACATCCTATTTCTCTTCCTCATCAAGAATTTAAAAGGTATCATGAAATAGTTAACAAAGAACCAACTCTGCAAACATTACACTTATGAAAATATTAAATAGAACAGGATGCTGTTATTGATGATACCAGATTATCTCTCAATAGCAAAGACCTCCTAGAATTTGCCCCCCCTCCCAAAACAAACAAACAAACAAACAAAAAACAAAGGAAGTCTGCTAATACTAAAATGATTTGGAGGTGTTGGTATGAGATGAGATAAATGAAATGACTCAGAGAATAGGATGAATAGGTTTGGCAAAAGAAACTCCTGCCACTGATGCAGGTCAACATCTGTAACTTATATTCTTAAAGGGCTGCCTAGGGCACTGAGCAGTTATGTGACTTTCCCATGGTCACACAGCAAGTATATATCAGAGACAAGACTTGAACAAAGAATTTCCCATCTCCAAGGTCAGCACTCTATCCGCTATATCACGATGGCCCCTCCCCCAACGTGAGAGTATATCTCCAGAAAGGACTTTAAAGATAATGTAATCCAGTTATGTATAGATAAGTCCATCCTATAACATCCTCAATAAGTGGTCATCTACGCTCTGCTTGTCTATAACCCAAAAAGCAGGCCACTCCACTTTCAGATACAGATATCAGAATATTATTTCTTCCTTCATGCCAGGATTGCCTCCTCTGTACAATTTTCATCCATTCATCCTAGTTTGGTCCTCCAGAGCTTTGAAAATTAAGCGTAATCCCTTTTCTTCATGACAATCCTTCCAATGTTTGAAGATAATTATCATGTTCTTCCTAGGTCTTCTATAAGTCAAATACATTCATCATAAAAATGTGTCTACAGGAGCATGTTACTGTAGAAAACAAATTAGAGAGAGAGGCTCTCTTCTTTAGGCACTTAACATCTGACTGCCCACAGACTGGAAATTCAAATCCCCATTCTCCAACACTGAATCCCAGCTAGAGATGCATAAAGCTCACATTTTTTGGAAAGGCATTTTGCGTAGTTGGACAACTGTTAAATTTAAAATTCTAGGGAACATTTTTACCTTCTGCTCTTTGTAAGATTTTCAGTGCCTCGTTCAGCTGGCCTTGTCCAATAAGTGCACATGCAGTATTGTAGCACAATTCATAAGTGCCTTCTTGAAGGCCTAAATTTTCCTGTTATGGAGCAAATTACCAAGTCAATTACCAGAATGAAACATGATTTCAAGGCTGAATAGGCATATAAGGAAACTCACTGGTATTACTTTTTCCCAGTTGCTCTGGGCAGCAACCACTGCTGAAAGATTTGTTTTCCTTTCTTCTTCATAATCATCTTGAGAGTTTCGGATGAGATCTCGGTATACAGCCAAGCAGTCATCATAACGCTCCAATCTATACAACTGAAGAAAAAGTCAGTAAACAAAAAAATATGTTGTCAGTCAAATACACACATTGGTAGTACTTATAAGCTCATACTTTCTTAAAGTTCTAAATAGGAAAATTCCAATTTATAAAGAATGAATAGTCAACATTCTTTGGACATTTTCTTTTTTTTGGCAAATTTTGCATTGTACCAATATTTTCACAATGCCATTTTCAACTAATCTTTACAGCTTTTAACACTGTAAATTCATATCTTCCTTTTAAGGCATGATATGCCATCTAAGTAAATCATTCAACTGAAAGGCAAATCACTTTCACTACCTTCCTTTTTCTAAAATCTGAGCAAAATTTTGTAAGAAAGGCCAAGAAAGAAAGCCTTAATTTATGCTCCTAAATCCATTAAACAAATATAATTTGTTTAATATATATATATATATACACACACACACACACACACACACACACATATATAAATATAATTTGACTTCCATACAAAAAGATTGCTAAGCACTGACTAACTGGAACAATATTAGGTACAACAAAAGTACCCGATAGTCCCTTCTAGAATGAGACTTTCCCGCTTTCCATCCTTTTTTTTCCATCTTGCTTTTTATCCTTTCCATTTTGCTTTCTGTTCTAACCACCATTTTCTGTACAAAACAAATTTCCCAGTACATGTGAACAGCATATAACTTCCACTGACTTCATCAGAATTCTTTACAAAGAAACAAAAAACTGACCTATCCCATAACACATCAAATCTAGTATTCTAAAAGCTATGCATGTTAGGGAAGAGCAATCTTTGCCCTTCCCACTGTTAACCTCAAAAAATGAAGGATGTACAATTCATAATTTAGTCCTGAAAACATTTATTAAGTACCTTCTACATACAAAACATTTTGCCAGAAGTCAGGAATACTAAGCAATATAATCCTTGCCCTCGACGACTTCACAATCTAATGGGAGGTAGTACTATGTGCTTAGGCAAGTAAGACACAAAGAAAAAGGTAAGAGCAAAAGAAAGATCCTGGCAAGAGTACTTAAATATGAGGAAGGGGAGATAACTCTCAACTGTAGATATCAGTAATGCCCACATTACTGGGGCATTATCAATGAACTTATCTAAATCTTCCCACAGACATTATTTATATTTTTAGTCTACACTATCTCTTGGCGGTAACAAATTCTTTACTTTACAACCTTCTATATAAAGTAATAGCAGCATTTATCTCCCCTAAATTTATGTCTTTTAAGCTTCAAAGGATGCTATTTTTGTCCTTGATTATCTGTTTTACATGAGGCATAATTTCCTAAGTCAGTTCTAATCCATTTGGAAATAGCTGGAATATAAAGTTTAAGTAATACCAGGGATTACTGTAGTCACCAAATGTATTCTTATTTCAAACATCATCATGATTTTAGAAACTGTAATTATAATACATTTCTCAGTCTTTTTTTTTAAACTAAAGAGTTCAATTCCACACTTCTCGTCCTACCCACACCCCCCTGCCTACTACTGAGTTTTTCTTCATTAACAGCTTTTTCATCTTTCTTTTTTGTAAGGCAAATAGGGTTAAATGACTTGCCCAGGGTCACACAGTTAGTAAGTATCGAGCGTCTGAGGCCAAATTTGAACTCAGGTCCCCCTGACTCCAAAGCCAGAGCTCTATCCACTGTGCCACCTAGCTGCCCCAATTTTTCATATTTTTCATCACTAACTTCCCTCAGGAGGGTTGAACCCAGGAGCGTAGAATATCCATACAGTTCATATATACACATACGACATATTATTCAGCTGTTTCTGAAGATGTGAAGTAGGTCTGCTACATCTGTCCTAGCTGAGGATGAATGAACTTAATGAAATCTCAAAAAGCAGACTTGGTAGCCTATTCCTTGGGACATCAGAACAGCCCAAGGTACCTATCCCTGGTCCCTGCTAAATTAGAAAGAAGCAGGATCATTCTCAAGGATCAACCACACACAGATAGTTTAAAGTAGTGATTACCACTTGTCCATAAAGTTCCTTTAGTTTATCCGTCTGATGGCTGGCACTTTCTATTGTTTTCAAGGCATTCTCAATACGATTCAGCCTGTATTCACAGTATGCCTTCTCAAAGGAAACAGTATCACTGCAAGATCAACAAATCAGAGTATGATTACGGGGAACAGTGAAATGACATCTAACCTCTTAAGACACTCCTATGTCTATCTGAAACAAGTGAGTTCTTATTATATGCTACCTTTGTTTAATTTTCATAAAGGAAATGATCAATCAGCAGGACGCCAAATTTTCCTTGCTCCAAAGACAACAAAAATAATTATTTTTATTTCATATTTTAAGAGGTTTTTAATTCCAAAAAGCCTTGTAAATCCTTCCTAACCAGCTCAAAATGCCAAAACTCAACCACTAGCAAGAAAAAAAAAAGGATGGAAATGTCAAAAGAGAATAAGGAGCACTTAATTAAGCAATAAACTCAGTACACAAAAAAACAGAGAAAGACTATCTATTACATGCAGTCTTCAAAATGAACCTGTATTAACATGACATGAGAAAGAGCTTTCCAACATAAATCTTAAAAAAAAAACAGGCTTTTCTTAAGGTAAAGGCAACATAATGTTTCTTTGTATTAACTTCTACCACTTGAAAATATCCTGTGATCATGGATTTTGAGCTAGAAGGAACTCCACATCATCGAGTCCACCCCACTCATTTTACAATGAGACTGAGTTAAGAGACTTCTCTAAGGTCTCACAACCAGGAAGGGTTTACAAAAGTTAGATTCAGACCCAGTCTCCCTCACTCCAAGTCCAGGACTTGCTACTGTACCACACTGCTTCTAATACCATTCTCACTTCAGCTAACCAAACTTCCTATACAAACTTATTTCATATTTAGCACAGTGAAATGATAATAGTATTTCTTTAAAGATTACATGAACTGGGTATGTATTTTTGCTTGTAAATACAAACATTTTTATTTGTAGACAGAAATATGCCCAGTGCCCCAAATTCCACACTGACTTACACATCTGTGGAACTATCCAGTGTGTTGGCTTGGGGAGATGAAAAGATGGGGAAAGGGACAAAGAAGGAGAGGAAGAAATAACTCCAACTAGTTTAAAAGACTACCTCCATTAGAGAAAAACCATGGTTCAGAGAGATCATGGAGATCACCTGAATAGTTTGGTATGGTACTGAAGGCAGTTATTTTCATCATTCAACGTGGGAGATGTCAATACATACTTTGTCTAAGCTAGTACTTAAATGTTAGCATGTTTTTCTCCACAACTTATTTTATCCCTTGCACTTCTCCTCAAGAAGCAATATAGTCTGTGGGGGAGGGAGCTGTCCTGGGAATTAGGAAAGGTACATCTGAAACACAGTAGCTGTGTGACTGAGAGTCCCAAGGCACACTCTAAGATGATAATTCACAGAAGAGCTGTGACTCTGCATTGGTCAAGGCAATCTCCTCCCCACCCATGAGTTTAGAGTACCAATGAAATTACAAATTAATAAAATGATGTCTTTATTTCTAGAGGATAGTTAACCCCAAATGTCCTTTGAAGACTTCCATCATTCCTTACATGCCCTACATCAACCAAAAAACAAAATCCAAAAAACAAAAAACAAACAAACAAAAAAAAGACCACTCTATCTCCTTCACAGTATCTAAAAGGTAAACAAGGAGGTTGCAGTATAGGAGGTAGAAGAGACCAAATTAATTTGTTCACATAGTTTCTGTTAAGCCTACCAAATGTAATACAGATTGTTTGAAATTCTGACCACTCTCTACTTTCAGAAGCACTATCAGGGGAAAAACATAAACTATGCCACAAATCAATGAAGCTGGAAAGCAATCTACAAAAGTACTTCTACTTGAATCAACAGATGGTTCAATAAGAACTTCCAATATCACTAATGCTGAATTACTTACCCAGTCAACACTTTGGTGTGAGAATTGATGACACTCAAGGCTTCCTTGAAATTACCGTTTTGGATAAGGCACACCACTTTACAGTGCAGAGCAGTTATATCATCTTTGTTGATCTGTAATACTAAGTAAAGATAATGTTTTTAGCTCAATATCTTTTGTGCTTTTTCCTTCCTAACACACAGGGCCCTTGCTATATGCCTTCCCCACCCCCACCCGAACCCATCCCAAAGTTGGAAGTAATTCCACAGTTAGTGAAAAAGTAACTTTTCTTCATTTTTAATTTGTAAAGTAAAGAATAATAATAGAAATGTATATACCAGGTTTTCCTCAAGACATCAAAACTCAACACCTTTTGTGGGTCAAAGACAAAAATAAGTTTACAAGAATATATGCAATCAAAAGGTAAAAACTATTCTAGTAGTTCTCAAATCTTTTCATCTTGGGGCCCACGCCTTGCTGGGTACACCTGGACCAAACAAGTATACACCTGTACCCAAAACAACAACAAAAACCCAACAACAACCCCACAATTAATAATTCATCTTCCTAGTAATTTCACCAAAAAGTCATTCAGAGCCTTACTTTCATTCTGAGAAAAGATAACCTGAAAGAAAAAGGCTCAGATGGATAGATTCATATAACAAAAGTATAACATCACTACCACTAAATAGTTTTACAAGTTCTACAGAACAAATCCTTATTAAAGGGATTTGTTCTGTGAAGTTTGGATTCAGTAAAAGGGTTGCACTTGAGGATCTAGAGGGTCACACGTGGCCTCAAGACTCCAGGTTCCCCAACTTTGTGAAGAGAATCATGGAGACTTGCAACAGAACAGCTGTCCACTTATAGAGACCCTTTGGGTTTTCATATTTCAATCTTAAGAACCACTGTCATTTTCATTGGCCAAGCTAGATGGATAATTTCCTGTGATGCAAATAGATTTAAAAAAAAAAACCTTTCATAAAACATTTCATGAATGGCCAATCTTGGCTTCAGAGGGACAATGATAACACAGTTCCTTCCTCTTGGGTGAACTGTAGTGAACCATGGGTATAGAAGATTGCATAAAGGCTTAGGCTAGGTTTACTTAACCAATTTTCTTTGTTATATGGAAAGGTTGCAGACGCCAAAGTCATTGGGATATAACAAAGTCATCATGTAAAAATCAAAAAGACATCAAAACTGCAAGAAAAAACATTGCATTCATTTTTTCCTGCTTTGATAGTTATTAGTTTCACGCTTACAAAAATCAAATTCACATTAATTTAAACCAAATTAGCGATGCTAACAATGAAAATTAATGACTACTTTTCTCATTGTTTGAAGTAACTATAAGGGCTTTTTATATATATATATATATACACACACACATATACACACATATATATAAAATCATTAATTTTCACCTTAATGTAGTAAGCAAAAGCTGGTTAGACAAAATTATCGTGTCAAACAGTTGACATTTACAAGCACCTATAATGTATATGACAATGAAGATACAAAGACCAAAACAGTCTCTGCCTGAATGGTGATTACATTCTAAACGGAATATAACGTACTTCTAAGTACACACATGATAAATACAAGGTAATTGGGGGTGGAAGGGTTTGACAATTGTTATCAGGAAAGGCCTCATGTAGACAGGTAACCTATGGAGAAAAGATTTTAATACATAGAAGAAAGTGAATTCCAGGGTTGGGGACAGACAAAATACTGAAGAACATTTTGTCATGCTGAAGAAAAAGCAAAGTTGTCAGTTGATGAGACTAAAAAGTGTATGAAGAGGGAGTTAGGTTGTGAAGATTTTTGAATGTCAAAGAGGCAACTGTATTTGTTCCTAGAGGTTATAGGGAACCACTATAGGTTACTAAGAGGGGTATGACACGGTCAGACTGGGACTTTAAGAATATAATTTTGGCAGCTCTGTGGAGGATTAAGGGGAAGAAAAAAATGGGGAAGGGAGAGGAAATAAGAATTTATATATGCCTATGTGCCAGACACTGTACTACAAATATTATCTCTTTTGATCTTAACAACACTGATACGTGCTGTTATTATCCTCATTTTATAGTTGAGGAAACTGAGGTAAAGAGAGGTTAAGTAACTTGCCCATGGTCACATAGCTAAGGCTGGATTTGAACTGAGGTCCTTCTGACTCCACGCCCAGTACTCTATCCACTGCAAATCCTAGCTGCCCCAAATCAAGACGTAACTGAGAGATGAGAGACTTGTACAGAGATGAATTAGAAAAACTATTGCAATAGTTCTTTGCAGAGGTGATGAGTGCCTCAGGCAGTGTGGCAGAGTTCAGTCATTTTTCGGTTTTGTGGAACTCTTTGTGGACCTATTTGGGATTTTCTTGGCGTGGAAATAAAAAGATAGATGGACAAATTTAAGGAATGTTCAGGAGGTAAGGGGCAGTAAGGAATAGCGATATGAAGATGATTCCAGGGTTGCAAACTAGAAGGCAAGTGATACCCTAGAGAAAAATAAGGGTAGATTTGGGGCAGCTTGAAGATTAGTTGTTTTGAACACGAGTTTAAGATGCCTACAAGACATCTAGTTTATAGAAAAGGTATCATGGAATACTAATGCTGCTATTGTGCTATTAACATTCATACCTCCATTCCCATTGATCATCACATTCAAAAGTCCACATACAGATAGCATTTTCTGTGAGGCTCAGCATAACAGAAAAAACATATCACACATAACATTAATGCTCACCCTACCATCCTAACAGGGATTGCTCTACTCATCAGGTTACAGGAAGAGAGGTATAGTGGAAAGAGCACTGTATTTGCAGAGAGCTGCGCTTCAATCTCAGCTTTACTACTCACTAACCTACAGAAACTTGGGCAAGGCTCTATGACTAGATGGAAATTATTAAGCATTAAATTTAAAAAGGAATAGAAAGCTGGAATCTACACTCTGTATATTGCTTTAACTAAGAATTAGATGGTTATAATAATTTATTAAAGAATATACAAAGATATCTTAATAAAATAAAAATGCTATTTGGTATTAGATAACTTTTATATTATAAGTATTAGATATTACTAAACATATTAAAAATAAGGACATATATATTAGATAACTTTAATACTAATGAGCACAATTTCAAATCACCAAACCTGAATTATGTGAATTAAAAACACAAGACAGCTCAGGTCTCTATTCCCTTTTATTACCGAGGTAGGAGCTTCTACTCTGCCCTTCAAATATTTCCAACATATATTGTACTTGTTGGCAAAATGCACATGGGCCTGTCTCCCCCGCTGGACTACAAGTTTCTAAAAGCGGCCTGGCATCGTGGGAAAAGGCTGGATTGGGAGTCTGAAGTCCTGCCTGCCAACTGCATGAAACTGCTAACTGTCTCTCTGTGAACTTCAGTTTCCTCACCTGTGAAATGGGGATAATAAAACTGTTATAAAAGTGCTTGGTAACCCTCATGACCTCCATAAGAGGAAGCGATTGCATTTGTGATTTGTAAACGCCGAACCCCCAGTTTGCAGCCGCTCCCCCCACCCCGAGATTCTTTCACGGAGCTGGCAAAGCATGGAGAGGAAGGGGCTAGGTGAGAAGGCAATTTCTCCGGGGAAGGGAAGAGAGGCTGCGGGGCCTTTAAATGCCCCCTCCCCCCGAGCTTCCTGGAGATGGGGCGAGGGAAGAGAAGCTAAGTACACGTGGCTTAAAGGGGTTGAGGAACCCAAGTCGGCCGGCCTGGGGCAGGGCGGGGCGCTGCGGGCCGGGCCCGGAGCGGGGACGAAGCTGCGGGCGCAGAGCGGGCCTCCTCCACGGCCACGCGCCTCTGCGTCGGCGCGGGCTGGGGGTGGGCCAGCGGCTGGGGTCCCCCGGCCCGCTTCCGCCTCTTCCCTTCCCCTCCTCCGCCGGGCGCGCGCCGGAAAGAGGCCACATCTCCCCGAGGCGGCGGGCGCCTCCCGGGGAGGGGGTAGGGGGCAGCTCGCGCTGCCCGGGCGCCCGCGAGGGGCGCGGCACTCACTCTTGTCCACTGTCTTGAGGGCGCGCGTGAAGTCGCCGTTCTGGCCGTTACGATTCACTTCGCTCCAGAGGGCAGCAACCGACGCCCCCCCGCCGCCGCCGCCGCCGCCGCTCGCCATCTTGGAGAAGACTCGGAGGTGGGTGCGGACGACCTCTGACCCCGGAAACGGATTTCGGCGGGGACTTGGGGAGAAGTGGGAACAGGAAGCAACCTTGGACTGTTGCTAATAGCAACCGGACTCCCGGTGTCCTCCCCTCAGGGCGACGCTCCTTCTCCGAAGCTCCCTAAGTGGCAACTGTGGGAAGAGATTGGATCACGTGGAGCATCCGTTACCTTACCTACCCGGGCCCACCCCTAAACCATGCCCGGCTCGGCTCGCTCAGCCGGACCGAGAGGGCCAGAGCCGCGGTCGCCCTTCTATTCCGGCCGATGCCGCTAACTTGGAGAGCTGAGGAGCTTTACCTCTTCTATGGCAGTCCGGCGAAGCCTTCTCAGAATCATATTTAACGATTAATTCAAGGGGCCGCTAGGTGGCGCAGTGGATAGAGCACCGGCCCTGAAGTGAGGAGGACCTGAATTCAAATCCAGCCTCAGACCAAACACTTGACACTTACTAGCTGTGTGACCCCGAGCAAGTCACTTAACCCCAATTGCCTTAAAAAAAAAGAAAAAGAAAAAAAAAGAAGAAGCAATCATCAAAACTGCTTGGTACTGGCCAAGAGGTAGAGTGGATAAGTGGAATAGGTTAGGTGCACAAGACACTGTAGTCAATGACTATAGTAATCTACTGTTTGATAAACCCCAAAACTCTAGCTTCTGGGATACGAAGTTACTATTTAACAAAAACTGCTAGGAAAACTGGAAAATAGTATGGCAGACACTAGGCATGGACCAACATTTTACACCATATACCAAGATAAAGCCAAAATGGGTACACAATTTAGATATAAAGGCTGATACTGTAAGCAAACTAGGAGAGCAGGGAATAGTTTGCCTCTCGGATTTATGGAGAAGGGAAGAATTAATGATCAAACAAGAGATAGAGAACATTATGAAATGCAAAACGGGTAATTTTGATTATATTAAATTGAAAAGTTTTTGAACAAACAAAGCCAATGCAACCAAGATTAAAAGGGAAGCAGAAAGCTGGGAAATGATTTTTACAACCAGTGTCTTTGAGAAGATGGCAGAATAGGTCAGAAAATTCTAAGGTCTCAAGATTTTCCCCCGCAAAAGTGAGAAAATAGCACCTTAGGGCGTACAGATTATAAGAATAGGAGCATAACAGAGGTCTTCCTGGGACAAATGGAGAATATCAGAAGAAAAATCCCAGGACAGGGTTTGGTTCAGGTGAAGAGTAAACACCTCCAGGCTAGGGTCAGCATTAACAAGGGGCACATCCTAGGATTAACTGATTTGGGAGGCTGCCTCTGCCCCAGCCACAGGAACTTTTACAACCAGGTGCAGTGAGGGTGTTGGGCATCTGAGCTGGAGAAAGTCGAGGGAACCTCTGCTGACCAGGAACTCCAGACCTATCTGTGCTGTAGGGAGTGGTGTGGGTGAGAAGGAATCAGCACATGCCTGGTGAGTGCAGAAGCAGTGAGGCAAAATGCCCTTGGCTGTAGGCACTTATAATAGGCTGGACGTTTGGCTTTGGTTCCAGGCTAAAGGGGAGAATTGAAGATCTGGAGCAAGAGGCACCCCAGGGCTAGAGGTGACTACAAAAATTACGCTATTACTACAAAAAAATGCACAGGGAAAGGAGAAAGAATCCAACCACAGAAAGTTATAGGAATAGAGAAAACCGAGGTTCATCTTCAAAGGAGGATATTGAAGCAAAGAAACCCTCTTCTACCCCAAAAAGTAACGCCAAATGGCCACCTGCCTTCATAAAGGAACTTAAAAGAGACTTTAAAAATCAAATGAGAGAGAGGAAAAACTAAAAAAAAAAAAAAATCCAAGAAAAACAAGATTATGAAAAGAAAGTCAACCAATTAGAAAAGGAGATCCAGAATTTAAGGAAGAAAATGATACCTTAAAAATTGGAATTGGGCAAAGTGAAGCCATAGAAGTTATCAGAGATCAAGAAATAAAATATGAATAATGAAAAAAAGAGACAGTGAAGCATCTTACAAGAAAAACAACTGATCTGGAGAACAGATCAAGAAGGGAAAATATAAGAATAATTGGACTACCTGAAAGTTACAATCAAAAAAAGAATCTTGATATAATAATGCAAGAAATAATTAAAGAAAATTGTCCTGAAGCTTTAGAAGAAGGGGGGAAAGTAGAAATAGAAAAAATCCAATGATCACCGCTTCAAAGAGATCCAATGAGGAAAATTCATAGGAATATTACAGTCAAATTCCAAAATCCCCAGCTCAAGGATAAAATATTAGAAGCAACAAGAAAAAATTAATTTAAATATGATGGTGCCACAGTTAGAATCACACAAGACCTAGTAGCAGAGACACTAAAGGACTGCAGGTCTTGGAACACTATATCTCGAAGAGCAAAAGAACTGTGGTTTCAGCCGAAAATATCATACCCAGCAAAGTTAAGCATAGTCCTGAATGAAAAAAAAATGGACATTTGATCAGCTGTCAGACCTTCAAGACTTTGTTTAAAAAAAAAAACAATTGAACTTAATAGACGATTTGACATACAAGAGCCAAGAGAAACATAAGGTACATACCAAACACTGATTACGAGGGATTCAATAAGGACAGACCATTTACTTTTTATATATGTAAAATGTATGTCTAAGATTGTCATTAGTAATTGGGTAGTTTGTAAGAAAGATTGGGATAGACCTGAGTATGATATGACTTTAAAAAAATAAAACCATTTGGAAACAGCTGAAAAGAGTAATTATACAAATGAGATGCAAGAGGAAGAATCGATACAGAGGAATTAGATGGGGGAGTAGGGCTGGTAGTTCTGGTAACCTACTTTCATCGGGAATAAGTTTAAGAGCGAACAATACATATATATTTAGAAGAGTGTAAAAGTCTTCTAAATTTAGAAGAAATAAAATGGTGAGGGAATAGGGAGTAAGGAGAGGACACGGGAGGGATCTGTAGAGGGGAGGGTGAGGGAATAGGTTATAGGGGGCTATAGAAGGGTGTTTAGATTTATGGGAATGGGAGCATAGGGCAGGGATCCTTGGAAGGGGTTAGGCTAAGTAAGAAGGGCAAGGTAGTAGGTAGAAGTAAAGTAGAAGAGTTTGGAGCACGGGCAGCTAGGTGGCGCAGTGGATAGAGCACCGGCCCTGGAATCAGGAGGATCTGAGTTCAAATCCAGCCTCAGAGACATAACACTTATTACTAGCTGTTGACCTCGAGCAAGTCACTTAACCCCATTGCCTAGCCAAAAAAAAAAAAAGAGTTTGGAGAGATTGGAAATGAAATACGCATCAACATAAAAACAAAGATCAGGAGTAGAATCTGTTAGGGAAAGTATATGTCTATATATGTGTATACATGTATGTGAGTATATATAGAAATATATCTGCACTTAATTGGAGCCTTGGTGGGGGAGAGAAGGGCAAAAAAAGAACAAAGTGAAAAGTGCACAGCGGAGAACAAAAGAAAACTTACAAGAAGCAAAGATGGACAGCTCTCAATACAAAATGTATTTATCATATAGGCTTTCTTGAAATGAAAATTTATCGTTACGTATTTTGAATCCTCTCATGATCTGCTATGCACGACATCCCTTTTTTTTTCTGTGTATTTAAGTTACAATATTTAAGCATATGATACCTTTTTTTTTTCTTTTCTCTATTTTGTATTTATGTTCTGGTGTTTGAGTCTAAAATAAAATTAAAAAAAAAAGAAGGCAGAATGTGGAATAGACAGTAATCCAGTTAAGTGGATTTAGGACTAGTTGCGTGAATAGACTTGAATAATCATTAGTCATCAGTGGCTTCATGTCAGCTTGGCAGAACATTTTCCAAGGAATGTTCCAGGGATCTGTGTGCTTTAACATTTTGATAACGTCAAAGATGGTGATCAAATTTGAAGATGACAGAAAATTGGAAGGTGTGGCTAAGAAATTGATTGTTAGGATATACATACATATATGTATATGTTTGTATGTATGACTAGCTAAAGTATTTAGCTAAATCTGGTAAGATGGTATTTAATAAGGATAAATGTAAAGACTTACTCTTGGGGCTCAAAAAATCAGCTTCCTAAGTAGAAGATAGGGGACTAATCATGACTATTCAATTAACAAGCATTTATTAAGCACTTGTTTTGTGCCAGGCACTATGCTTGGTTTCCTTTGCTGAATCTTTCTCCAGGTCACACTCAACTATGGCTGTATCTCAGAGCTCTGCTGTGGCTCCACCTCTTTTCTATCCATTATAGCTCGCTTAATGATTTCCAGAGTTCCCATGGGTTTAGTTATCTTTATGCAGATGATTCCCAGATATAGATAATTTATACAAATTATATGTGTATATATACATATACATAAATATATATATGTGTGTAAGTATGTAGGTATCGGACCCTAGTCTCTCTCCTGAGTTCCAGATTACCAAATACCTGTTGGAAATTTTGAAGTGGATATATAGTGATGTATCATACTCAACATGTCTAAAAGAGAACTCATTATCTTCCCCTCCCTCAAACCTTCCTGTCTTCTAAACTCCCTTATTATTACCTAGGGTACCACTATCATACCAGTCTCCCAGGATTGAAACCTAGATGCCACTCTCAACATTCTCACCTAGTCATTTCCCAAATCTTGGCATTTTTACCTTTATATGTTCTTTTGTGTACATTCCTTCCCTCTGTGCATAATGCATTTAGAACCTTAAGTCTGGCCCTTATCATCTCTCATCTGGACTACCACCATACTAAAAAAACTGTCTCTGATAAAATCTTCATTTCTAAAATAGAGAACTGAGTCAAATTTTTAAGAATATAAGTCATTGCCCAATTGATAAATTGTCAAAGGATGTGAACTAACGTTGATAGATTTAGCCCATCTCAACAATGCAAGGATCTAAGACATCTCCAAAGGTCTCATGATGGAAAATGCTATCCACGTCCAAAGAACTATGGAGTTTGAATGCAAATACAAGCATACTATTTGCTATTTTTTTTCTTCTGTTTTGTTTTGTTTCCTCTTTCTGGTGGTTCCTCCTATTGATTCTAATTCTTCCTTACAACATCACTAATGTGAAAATATGTTTAATAGAAATGTATATATATGGCCTATATCAGATTGTATGCCATCTTGAGAGACAGAGGTGAGGAGGGAGGGGGAGAAAAATTTAAAACTCAAAAGCTTATGGAAGTGATTGTTGACAAATCAAAATAAATCAATAAAAAAAGGATATGAACAGGCAGTTTTCAGATGAAGAAATTAAAGCTATACATAGTCATACGAAAAAAATGCTCTAAATCACTATTGATTAGAGAAATGCAAATCAAAACGACTCTGAGGTACCACATTACACCTATCAGATTGACTAACATGACAAACAGGAAAATGATAAATGTTGGCAAAGATGTGGGAAGATTGGAACACTAATGCATTGTTGGTGGAGTTGTGAACTGATCCAACCATTCTGGAGAGCAATGTGGAACTATGCCCAAAGAGCTATAAAACTGTGCATACTAGGGGCAGCTAGGTGGCACAGTGGTTAGAGTATTGGCCATGGAGTCAGGAGGACCTGAGTTCAAGTCCAGCCTCAGACACTTAGTAGCTGTGTGATCTTGGGCAAGTCATGTTGCCCAGCCCCCCCAAAAAACTGTGCATACCCTTTGACCCAGCAATATCACTTCTAGGTCTGTATCCCAAAGAGATCATAAAAATGGGAAAAGGACCCACATGTACAAAAATATTTATAGCTGCTCTTTTTGTGGTGCCAAGAATTGGAAATTGAGGGGGATGCCCATCAACTGGGGAGTGGCTGAACAAGTTGTGGTATATCAATGTAATGGAATACTATTGTTCCATAAGAAATGATGAATAGGCGAGCCTCAGAAAAGCATGGAAAGACTTGCATGAACTGATGCTGAATGAAGTGAGCAGAACCAGGAGAAATCGTACACAGTAACAGCAATGTTATTCGATGACTTACTTTGATAGACTTAGCTCTTCTCAGCAATACAAGGATCTAAGACAATTCCAAAAGACTCATGATGGAAAATGCTATCCACATCCAGAGAAAGAAGTATGGAGTTTGAATGCAGACGGAAGCATACTATTTGCTCTTTTCTTTTCTTTTTTTTTTGTTTCTTCTTCGTCATAGTCCCTCCCATTGGTTCTAATTCTTCTTTACAACATGACTAATGTTTAATATGAATGTATATGTATAGCTTGTTATCAGATTGCATGCTCTCTGGGGGAGGGAAAGGAGGGAGAGAAAATTTAGAACTCAAAATCTTATGGAAGTGAATGTTGAAAACTAAAAATTAATTTTTTAAAAAGCAAACAATTAGATGCACTGCTTCATATAAAATCTTGTTTTTGTGTTCTCTGTATGTGTGTATATATATGTTTGTGTGTGTATATAG